ATCAAAGATGTCAAACTAATATGATAAGATTGATAACTAAGTTGAGCACGAAGCTCCTATCTAATGGCAGACGTGCCAGTATTATATAGAACCTTCGTTCTCGCGGATCAGTGCTCATCGCCCTGATCGATTCCGATTCCTCAGAGGTCGTCAGTCCGACCACCTCTGATGCCCATCAATCACGTGACAGTAACTAAAGGAAATCCATGGATCGCTTAGCTGGCCTAAGCAATCCCTATTTGCTATAAGAAACCTGGATGTGCCTGTCGAGGGTTGCGCCTCTTTATTATGACAAGTATCACGTGAGCACGTGATTCGTGACAGACGCCCCTCGGTCTCAGATAAGGCAAAGGTGGTCTCGATGTTTGTGGGAGGGTCCTTGTGTAGTGTATTGTCATTTCTGGAAGCAGAGTCTTACGAGTAGATCAAGCCGGTCCCAGACTCCCTTGATTTGGACCTAATCCCGTTAGTGGTATACATTAGACACTAGAAAGTAGCGAAATACTTTGCTCCGGTCATGGAAAGTCTGATGCTAGTTTTGGAAGCTTGCTGTATTATTTTGGGCCACGATTTTGATTGGATGATGTCTCCAGCATAGAAGAATTGCAACTTCTTAGGACTGAATTCCCAAAAGCGCAACAGAAATTTCTGGATACATTAGTCAGACCTTAACCCAAAAAGAGCCATTGATACTTACATACCAACTTTCACACTCATTCACAGGAAAAGACCAAAGCATTTCCCCACTGGAAACTTGGATTTGTGCTGGATAACACGCAAAAGAGCGTGGTTGGATTTGGTTTCTACCCATATCAGGTGGAGGGAGTTCAGTTGATAGAGAAACATACTTCCCAAATAGCGTGGAAATTGAAGTGTGAGAGCCGGTAACAAGGAACGCTGATGCTAAAGTTAGTAAATGTCAAGTGTTTTGGGGAGGGGAAGGGATATCACGTTCTGATTAAAACTCACATTCATCGACTACAACACACCAGACTTGAGCAATGTGGAAACAGTGTCCTTGGGGACAGCCGGGTAATTTACAAACTGCCTGCTGCATGTCTCTCTTTTCATGTGCAAAAGAAGATTGCGCCTCCAATAAGGTTTTCGCGGGATGCGAAGCAGGCAGCAAATCATTGGAATTGGCGGAGTAATTTTGGAGTAAGAAATAAGGTAAGCACATCCATATCACACTTCTTTTCCGACGCGAGCTTTCGTTTAGGTCTCGGGGTTCCGGGCGAATTGTTGTCGAGAGAATGGTCGGTGTCATAAATCGTACGCTTGATCCATTTGAGGTATGCGTTGGTCTGTCTATCTCACCAAAAACTGTTATTGTCGAGTTCAAGGTTTGGGTATCAAATACACACCATAATCTTTCCTCACACGTTTGAAGAGCCTATTGAGACCCGACTTTTGCAAATCCGTGAGACCAGGCAGGCCTTTTACCGCAGTCTTGTGCCTGCGTTAGAGCTAGATTATTATGCGGATTTGAACCCTATTCTCACCTCAAATCTGTCAAAGTTCATATTTGTATCTTCGATTTGTCTTCCATGCTGTTAGTTCTCATTGGCGTACTTCAAATACAAAAAGGTGACTTACAGCGATTTGAAAAGTGGTTGATCCTGTGAATTTATGCCTTCTGCCACTTTAAGCTCTACAGATTGATCGCCGTCGATAGATCCATCACCTGTGTAATGTGACTTCCAAACATGAATAACCTTTCCTAGGTGTGCCACATTCATAGATTGTTGTGAAGAAGTCAAAGGTTCCTTTTTCGGCATGCCTTTACCTACAGCTGGAGATCTGATACCTTCTCGAGTTTGAAGACCTTTTCTATACCGAGAAAGCTTGAACGAGAAGTCCTGCGGCATGTAATCTGAATCATCCGAGTCGCGGGAGGCGTCACCACAGAGCGACTGGGAACTCGATGAGATCGTTGAACTTGATCGTTCTTTTGCACTTTCAGTTTCTCTTTCTACACCCCTGTCTATCTCCACGCGTCTTCTCCTTCCTCCTTCTTCCCCGTACCTGTCCTTACCCTCTATCGTTACCCTTTCACTTTCTCGTGAATCCTGAACCCCAATCTCATGAATCTTTTGGAAAACTGTCATGGAATTGAGCAAAGATTCAAACACCCAGAAAGGTGGCTTTTGGGGATGGACAGTAAAGCGCAGGCAAAAACGGGATTTCTTACCTTTGGAAAGAAAATCCTCAACATTCTTACCTACAATGTGTTCTTTACGCACGAATAAATTCCTGGGCTGATCTTGTCAGATTGTTGGTCAACAAAGGTAGAAGAAGGCGGACGTTATGCTCGAATGAGTACCCTAGCTCGGCGAGTACCTGCCTGCTCATCGCCGAGGATGGTATTTTGATCCATTTCACAGCCGGGAAAGATTCGTTGAAATTGACTCCTAAGGAAGCTCGACCTGGGTCCTGATCTTGCAGCACATGATCCCGCAGATGCGAGTCCGTGGCTCTATCAACTCCCTCTGAATAGTTGTCCATGTCGAATACCAATATGGCAGTATCGAATGCACAGGTGAAGTGACGAGCAAGGAAATGATTAAAGTCGTGGGAGGATAAAAGCATTTGTGCTTGGGAAAATGCGGAACTTGCTCACCTTCTGTGCCTACATATACTATTGGATGCAGTAAGCATGACATGTTTCTCCTATGCCCCATCTGGAAGAGAATCTTCGATATGGACCAATGATATACCTACTTGGTGGTGAAAAGGCCCTTTCTTGTAGAAGTGGGTAGAGTGTAACATAGCGCTCTATTTGGCAAGTATAAGTACCTAGATAAGGCACTTACTGATTTACAGTTTTATCATTGTTTTAAATTTAAGATGAAGGTGGTTATAAATCTTTACAATGAATGTTTATATCCAGGCATGTTATTCCTTATACCACTCCTCCCGGCGTGCGCACAGTTTACTGCCACTTATCTTGTCTACCGGGAGCCCTCCCAGTATATTTGAAGGGGGCCAAAAGGGTGAGATATAATGGACCAATCAGCATCCACCACCCCACGCTTGCCGAGGCTGACGATTGTGAGTTCAAAATTCTTGCCGCCAACAACTCACTACGACATTTCTAGAATGAATTTTATAAAAATGATCGCTCCTTACCATGGACCGGCCATATAATCGCCCCTATTACGATTACTCCCACGAATACCCTACAATCTCCCCCCCACAGTCCTGGAGCTCCTACACTTCAGCCGATAGCGAAGATAGCTTGGACTCATACGGTCATCCCATCAATCCACGACGAACACCTTCATCTGGCGCCTCGCCACAATCCTGTCGTTCTTCTCCTTCGCAGACTCGAACACAATATACTCAATCGTTGACAAAGCCACAAGCCGAATCTTCGAGAGGGGGGCAATCCGAGAAGGACGGCGAGGAGAAGGGGAAAGGCAGAGAGGGAGAGAAGGAAAACAAACCAGGAGGTATGGCCTCGTGGATTGAAAAGATTACAGGCTCAAGAGAAGCTCAATTTGCTGCCACGGCTGTGGTCAGCGGCGCCGTAGTCGCGGGTGCGATTTTGGGGTCCCAGAATGTCCGCCGCAGAGAGAGAATTGGGGAGTTGAAGGCAGACATCCCGGATATCGATGATCGTAAAGGAGGGCATATTACTCGTCAGGTATGCACAAAGAGAAGGGCAACTTCAACGTCAAAAGAGGGGAAGTGCTGACGAAATAAGTGAAGCTCACGGATTTTGGTGCGGCATCAACAGTCATTAGCAAGGAAGACGAGAGAAGTTTGAGATTAGCAGAACGAGCACAGAGAGGAGATTATGATGATGGTTTGTTTTCTGCCAAATTCAAACTCCCGGTTTACTGACAGATACAATAGAACTTATTCTCGAACAGCTGGCGCGAAACCGAGTCTTTCTCTCAGACGAAGGACTGAAAAAGCTCCGTGGGGCATTCGTTATCGTGGTTGGCTGTGGTGGGGTTGGATCACATTGCACCGCAGCACTGGCCCGTTCTGGGGTCTCTCAAATCCGATTGATAGATTTCGATCAAGTCACCCTCTCCTCGCTAAATCGCCATGCAGTCGCAACTCTTGGAGATGTCGGCACACCAAAGGTTGCTTGTCTCAAGAAACGCCTACACCAAATCACTCCTTGGGTGCATTTCGATCTCCGAAACGAACTGTATCGTCCCGAGGCAGCAGCAGCGTTGCTCGGACCATACCAAGGGAAACAGCCCGATTTTATTATTGATGCAATTGACAACATCAACAGTAAGGTATCATTACTAGAATATTGCTACAAAAATAACCTCCCCGTTATATCATCAATGGGTGCGGGTTGCAAATCTGACCCAACCCGCATCTTCATTGGTGATATCTCTGCCAGTACAGAGGACCCACTCTCTCGCTCCACCCGTCGTCGTCTTCGTGCTCTTGGTGTTACATCTGGAATTCCAGTCGTATATTCCACCGAGAAGCCAGGTCCTGGTAAAGCAGAATTGCTTCCGCTTCCCGAAGAGGAATTTAAGAAAGGTTCAGTAGGTGAACTTGGCGTCCTCCCTGATTTCCGCGTCAGAATATTGCCAGTTCTTGGAACAATGCCAGCTGTATTTGGATACGCAGTTGCAAATCACGTTATTCTTAAGATTACTGGTTATCCACATGAATACATACCTGCCAAAGGGCGGGATAAGTTGTACGATGGAATTCTTGCTCTTCTCCAGGGGCAAGAAGAAAAACTTGCAAGATCTACCACCCCAGGCGAAGATGCTCGCGGGCTGAAAGTTGCACTGTCTGTGACCGACGTTGGATATTTGGTCGAAGAGGTATTCAGAGGGAAGAGTGTTGTTAGTGGTATCCCAACCAGGTTAGCTCTGGTGAGATGGCGGAAACCACAGCCTGGTAGCACCATTAAATTGGATGTCGAGGGCCAAAAGATTAGTGCTCTCAAGTTGCGAAATTTGGTGTGTATGACAAGGGAAGAGGCTACGAAGCACGAGCAAGAGGTTGTCAAAGGGAACAAGACGCCAGAAGAGTTCTACGATGCCGAGACTGTTGAGTTAGTAGAGAGAAGATTGGCAGAGGAAGATAACTACGAGAAGTATAGATAGGTAGTTGATGTTGGAAAAAACAACTTCACTCTTGTTCTGGCTGTACATTGCTTCTAAAACTCGACTATTGGATTAGAGCTTAAGTTTAGAATTCCGATATCTTTAGGAGTCTACAAACTTAGGGGGGCTAACCTGGAATAGGACATATATCCAGGTCACGGTACAATCCCACTTTCACATAACCCCCATCCCTCCCCCCTCTTTACCTTATCTTATCAGCCCATTTACTCTCATTTCATACGAGTACATATACGCCTCTACTATCAGCCCAATTCTCTCTCTATCTACAACAACATTGAATACACATCCCCATATCTCACCATCCAAACCAATCTCTCTCTTTCTCTCCCTCCAAAGAAAGAAAAAGAATGGCACCAACCGAAATCCCCGCCCGCCACGGCCTCGCCATCCCTCTCTCAAAGGGCCAAACAGTCAAAGTCATCAACACCCACGGAACCCAAGTGGTCGACACCTGGGCCTTTACCATCTCATCTTTCCCTCCTTCCCCATCCACATCTTCATCCATAGTGACTCAGATGTCTAACCAACACACGCGGGCCTGTCTCAATCGCAGCATTCCCCGTGTCCGCGATGGCTTGTTCAATAATAAACGAGAGAAGATGTTGACGCTTACGGAGGATACGACTATGGGACATCATGATACGTTGATTGCGGCGTGTGATGAGGAGAGGTATGTTGAGCTTGCGGGCGAGAAGGGACGGGGGCATAGGAATTGTAGTGGAAATTTGGGGGAGGGGTTGGGTGGTCTTGGTGCGTTTTCCTTTCATATTTTCGACTGATTTGCTCTTCCGTTCTCTTTTCTTTTGTTCTTTGAGCTTTTTGAGTGGTTTGGGCGAAGGGGTGAGATATATGAAGTGAGGAGAAAGGATGGGGATGAAGGAGCTAATGGAAATAGGCATTACACCCCCGCAATTCACACCCTCCCCCTTGAATTTGTTCATGAATATTCCTATCCGTGCGGATGATCACACGAGTCTTAGTTTTGAGGAGCCGACGAGTAGGAAGGGGGAGTATGTTTGTTTGAGGGCCGAGATGGATTTGGTGGTTGCTTTTAGTGCTTGTCCTCAGGTATGGTTTGTCCCTTCCAAATGGAGTAAGAAGATGAAAGGGAAGGGATGAATGGAAGTGAGGAAGGGAGAAGGGGAAGAGGAGTGAGAAAATGCTGATTGGATTCCATAGGATATTTTGGCTATTAATTGTGGGAAGCCTGTTGAGGCGCATTTTGAGGTTTTTTAGATGGGGGTTTGAGAGGAATTGGGAAAAGGAAGTGAGTGAGTTTATTGAAGTGGAATTCGAGGAGGTGGAATTGGATGATGGGGTAGATGCAGTCTCTTGTACTAATCATCAGAAAGTTTGATATTATTTGGAACTTCCTAGCCAGCCTGGTTCTTTCATTGGATCACGAAAGTCGGGGATCCGTGGGGTTCTTTTCATTTTTAGAGCCCGTATATACATGGTTACGCCAGAGAATCTACGTAAACATGTTCCGCCGAATTAGGTCGTCTTATAGATCTTAAAATATTTTGTTCAGTGGGAGAGGTTTTTATTAACTACAAAATTGTCCAAAGCACATTTGTTTACATTCTGTGTACCTAATGAGTCTTTGTGGACACAAAGTGTTAATTTACGGTAGAGCGGAATTCTGTGCAAGGTACAGATATAGGTTGATGGTAGATGGTAGATGATTTCCTTCTAGTCTAATAAGAGGATTAGCCATTGCTTCTTAAATTACGTAAAACATTTTAGAATAATGAAGTACAAGAGTTTAAAAGCTATATTTATCTATGCTCATCGAGAGTACTAGGTAGTGCTCGTTGTCTCGGATAATTCTAACGTCACTCCCAGTGGGGTAGCGTTACGTGAACAGACAATTGTCTATGAACCTTATCTATATAGCTCTCACCCTTAACACTTACCTCGATACTGAGACAATAGAGTATGACTCAATTCACAAGTCTTTTTGTTTTGCCGTGCTTGCAAGACATCTATGTTTCAGTGCTTGGTTTAAAAAAGTCAACTCTTGAGAGGTTGTCCTGAAGTCTGTAATAGTGGTAGGGCGAGGATAAAAAAAGATAAAGTTAGTAAGGAAACCAAGTATATTTAGTGATGCTGTGAGTATTCCCACACTTCTAAAGAATAAATAAATTGAGATGTTCGACACCTATATACTGAAAACTGTTACTACAATTTCATACTTACAATTTGAAAACTTACCCGTATCACGTGGGGTTTGAGCTGATCCCTAATAATCCCTGTCAAAATAGGACCCCAGAAACGCGATAGGTAGCACGATGACATCTCAGAAGCTCCAGAACAGCTTGGAATAGAGCTCTCAGCAAAACCACTCCATACATGAGGCGCACACTTTGAGTACACTCACAATCACCATGCGACTTCCAATAAACCTCTTGTTTCTTACCCTCTCTATCCTCCCCTCCACCCTCGCCGTGTTCGTCGATGAAGCATACATTGTCGATTATCATCACGAACTCCTCGGACTTTCTCAACCACACACATCCTTCTTCCATCGACCGCGAAAGAACGAAAAGGCTTCATTGTTATATACTTTGAGCGACTTGGGAGTGTTAGGTGCTGTCAATCCCGGTCTGGGGAAAGTGGTATGGCGACAATTGCTCGCGGGCGACGATGCAGTATCGGAACCTGGCTTTTTAAGGCCAATTGAGGGCGAAGATGCTGTGGTATCTGCGATTGGAAGTAGGGTCGATGCTTGGGATGCGATGAGTGGGAGAGCAACGTGGGGTAATGTCTTCGAAGGGGTCGTCAAGGATTTGGAAGTAATGGAAACTGCGGCTGGGAGTGAAGGAGCCAAAGCTGTATTGGCTCTATTTGACGAAGGGAAGCCTGTTTTGAGGAAATTGAAAGGCGGAAGCGGTGATGTGGCTTGGGAATACGCAGGCGTCTCCGGAGATATTGCTCTACAGGTTAGCACAAATGTGCAGAACGTATTTTTGGTTTCGACATACTATGGGTCCAAGGCGGGCTTTACACTGAGAGTCACGATATTAGATCCGGTTACTGGAAAGAAATCTAGCGAATATACTCTGTCTACAAAGGGTGAGATAGAGAGCCTGGAGGATGTTGTATTTGTGGGAGCCAACTCTGCGGCTCCTATTATTGCATGGGCAGACCAAGGATACAAAAACCTGAGGGTCAATGTTCTAGGAAAGAGCGGAGCTATTCAATCTCTTCCATTGACCGAATCGGATGGGAAACTCACAGAAGTTACGGTTCATGCGCCACATCTTGTTCAGTCGCAAGCTCATTTCTTGGTTCATAGCCGTTCTGCCCTCTCAAATCGAGCGGATGTGTACCACGTTGACCTTGCAAATGGTAGCGTCAAGAAGGCATATGAGTTACCAAAAGTTCCCGGACGAGGATCTATTTCCATCAGCTCCCAGGACGCCAATGTCTATTTCACCAGACTTTCAGATGATGAAGTTGCTGTCTATTCTTCAGTTTCCCATGGAGTTCTTGGAAGATGGCCATTGAATTTTGAGGCTCAACGAGGTTCATTTGTTCACAGTACAACAGAGGTCGTACAAAAAGGTACTGATACCTATGCTGTTCGGTCCGCTGTTGTCACTACTGAGCAGGACTGGGTTCTTATCCGGAATGGAGCCGAAGCTTGGGCTCGCCCAGAGGGATTATCTGGAGCTGTTGCTGCTGCTTTTGCTGATTTGCCCGAATCTGAGAGTTTGGTCAAGAATCTGGAAGTAGAGGCAGAGAGCAATGCCTTATCTGCCTACATTCATCGTGTCAACCGCCATGTCGCCGACTTGCAATACTTGCCAAACTACCTACAAGATTTACCAAGACGATTCTTGAGCAGTATTCTTCCAGGTGAGATTATTGCTCAGAAGGCCGGAGTCTTGGTGCCAGACAGTTTTGGTTTCAACAAGGTGGTCATAGTTGCTACTCAGCGCGGTAGACTGTACGGTCTCGACGCTGGTAATCATGGCAGCATCGTGTGGTCTTGGACAGCGTTTCCTCAGGAAAATGGCAAGAAGTGGGACGTAAAGGGAATCTTCGTCGAAAGCTCAAAGGGTCTCGCAACAATCAGAGCTGCTGATGGCGAGTATACCGTGGTCAAGACAACTACTGGCGAAAGAATTGAGACCATGCCGCCTGGATCGGGCCCAACTATCCGCAGTACTGCCATTGTGGATAGTCCTTCTGGAAAATGGATGCTCACCATTGGAGTCAATGGAAACCCTGAAGATGTTCCTTCCGAAAGGGTACCAAAGGGTCATCTCGTGGTTAAGGGCGACGCTGGTGAGGTGAAGGGATTGAAATTCATGCCCAGGGGCTCGCAATCATCACCTGTCATAACTTGGACTTTCACGCCTCCAACTGATCAAGTCATTACAAATGTCGTGTCTAGACCAGCTCATGACCCTGTTGCTTCTATTGGTAGAGTTCTCGGTGATCGTACCGTGCTATACAAATACCTCAACCCGAACGTGGTTCTTGTTACGGCAATTTCCAACGAGAAGTCTACTGCAACATTTTATCTTCTCGACACCATTTCCGGTGATATTCTGTACTCAGCCACACACGAAGGTGTTGATACCAAACAACCTATCGCTTCAGCACTTACCGAAAATTGGTTCTCCTATTCACTATGGGCTGATATCATTTCTACGTCGGCTACTTTGCCATCATCAAAGGGCTACCAGATTATTGTATCGGAAATGTACGAGTCTGATGTTGCAAATGATAGAGGGCCCCTTGAATCAACAGCAAACTCTTCTAGTCTTGAGCCCTCTGACATTCCTAACGCCGAGCTGGCTTTACCTCATGTTATCACGGCGTCTTTTTTGGTTCCCGAAGCAATCAGCCACATGTCCGTCTCCGCAACCCGTCAAGGAATCACAACTCGCCAGCTTCTTTGCACTCTGGAGTCCAGCGGTGCTATCATCGGTATTCCAAGAACCATCCTCGATCCTCGTAGACCAGTAGGACGGGATCCAACACCAGCCGAACAAGAAGAGGGGATCTTCAGATACCATCCAGTCATCGAGTTTGATCCCAAGATGCTGATCACGCATAAGCGTGAAGTCATTGGTATCAAAGATATCATTGCAAGTCCGGCGGTGCTGGAGAGTACCAGTTTGATTTTCGCCTATGGTATTGATATTTTTGGAACGAGAGTCGCTCCTAGTGCGGCTTTTGATATCCTTGGGAAGGGATTCAATAAGTTGAGTTTGGTTGGTACCGTGGCTGCGCTGTGGGCTGGTGTTGTGATTTTGGCGCCTATGGTATGTTATTTCTGTTTCTGTTTATGTGGGTCCTGTGGTTTTGCAAGTGTGCTAATTGAACATAGGTCAGGAGGAAACAAATCAATGGGAGATGGATGACTTCGTAGATTTTTGTAGAGTATAGGAATATAAGAATTGACATTTTTTTCAATTACTTGATCCTTGGTGCTGTTTTGTGATTTCTTGATGGTGTTTTGGGTGGTTGACTGGGTATTTATGTATAGTAATAGGACTTTATGCAGGGACGGATTTGTTGCCGACTTTGATTTATGACCATAACATGCCATGCGTAACTACTTACTCAGCCTTTAGCCTTTTCTTTGAGATTATAGCGCTTGAAACTCATTTCAGGTCGTTCTTATACGAGGATGCGACTTTTTTGTCATACTGATTGGAAGCGAGGGCCTCTAATAAATCATATCTAGATAAGTTCTCAACGGCATTTGCTTGTTTTGGATGACACTCGTTGTTTTAAGCTAAATTCGTAGATAGTATACATCAGCCCCCCTGTAACGTTCTCTGCTCTAATCTAGTAGCTTATGCCCGCGTACTGTAAGTAGCTTATGTCCGCGTAAGCGACCTGTTAACTACACTAGATACGCCATGAAAACCCGATTGTACTAGAGTCTCTAGGATCATTAACTGAATTGTTCTAAAATGATTCAGTGGATTAAGGTATATTAATTTGAATTATTCTAAAATGTCTTCTTAGTTAAACTTATACGAGGCTTTTAGATGATATATCATTCAATTTATTCTAACCTTCATAAATGTATCCAGACATCGCCAATCTCCTCCCCCTCATCTCCCACGCCCCAGCTCTCCGTCGCGTCACCACCGTCTTCGCAGGCAGAAAAGAAGGGAAAAGCCACACAGATGAGGTCCAAGCAAAAAATCTTTCCATACCGACAGCACGAGGCCACGTGGTCTCCATGATGGCATTGGGACTGGAGAATCTTGCTAAATCAGCATCCACTGTTTCGTTCATCCAAGATTACCCGGGTTTTGTCAAGACGGGCCTGTCTCGCGAACTGAATGCTCCCATGCGGGTTGTTATCAAGGTCATGATTTGGCCGTCTATGACGTTGCTGCATATTTCTATTGATGAGGTTGGTGAGCGACACGTTTTTTTCCTACGAGTGCCAGGTTTTGTGGTGGGGGTGGGGATAATTCCGGTCTTGCTTTGAAGGGTGGAATGGAGACTGGTGTGGGTACGGATGGTACTGTTGGTGGTGGGGTTTATTCTATTGATTATGAGGGCGAAGGAACGGTTGAGGTGTGAGGGGGATTTTGAGGGGGTTGAGGGAGGATGGGACGGCGGATATGAGTTGGAAGCATACGCAGGATGAGTTCATGCGTATTACTGGGAAAGCGTCAATTCAAAGCTCGGTATAGAACCTCGTTGGAAAACTATTTGGACATATGTGATACAGTACTTCGCTTAACTTTCAGTTGCGCAAGGTTCATGCGATTACTGAATCTTGTACTACTCAAACAATATTATTAGTCTTTTCTAACGCTTGTTAATCCTATATAGGATTTTCTATATCTTTTTCTGGACTTTTGACATATTTATGTATATACCTATACAGATAGGATTGCCAAGTTAGTGCTGTCGGTGGACACAGAGAATGAGAGGCAGACTTATACTCGGTAAGTGTAATTAATAGGGGTGGTAGATGAATATGGAGAAAAGGACTTACAGTGACTATAGGCGCAAGCTCTAGTATATATTTGGAGCTTGGTTAGCTTGATCATTCATATCGTGTAAGTGAGTCGTAGGTACCCGCAACGATGAAGGTACTTCAACGGAAATCGGCGTCCTTGAGTCTCAGATTTTCTAGACTTTCGGGACTCAGTCATTGCTGATGCCGGTCCTTGCCAAAATGACAAGTGGTGATTAACGTTTTAGAAGGAAGAGGGGGATGCGCTTCCTGTTTGTAGTTACAATAAGCAGGAAAATCCACGCTCTTTAGGTCTCAATCAAATACTAGCTCAGTAAATTTTTTGATTTGGGAAAACAACAAACTTTCATTATGAAGGTAGAAAAGATAAAGCTGAAGGCTGACTCTGGTGTCGTGTCCACTTGAATTCCGTGATACCATACTCCGCCAAAACACACTCTAACATATATGTCCCGACCACTCATCCACTCCTCAATGCATAAACCTGTGGACTCACAATTTTACCTAAACTGATCTTGCAGAAAGGTAGTAACAGTAGAACATTGAACGGCAAGCATGATCTCAAATGGCATGGCCCGTCGAATAAAATCTTTCAGCGATATCTTGGTCTCGGGTGCAGCTGGCACGGGATGATGCCGAGGGTGTTCTGCAATTTTTACCACAGTCCGCCGCAATGTTCTAGCAGGGTTGCGTTTCACGGTAAAAGGGATCTCACGATACGTAGCCTGATGAGCAGAGGCGATATCATGTCTCATCTTCTCCAGTGTAGAGCCAAAGTGCTTCAACTTATACAATGATTGGACCATCCGATCAATTGCGCCCTCGCTCATGGTTTCCCAATTTGCATTGGAGTTGAGATTTTCCGTAATGACTTTGATGGCTTCTGTGTGTTTGTGTCGCTCTTCGGTTAAAGATAGAAGCCGCTTGTTGCTGCCTCCAACCTGAACTTTCATCTGCTCTTCTTTGATCAGGTAGTCAAGATAGGCGATCAGGGCGTCGTTATATGGTGCCAGAGAATACTTTTTCAGGAAGACTCCAAACTTTGCTGCTGCATCTCGGATAATTTCGCGCTCTTGCTTGTATTCTGATAATCGCCGCTCATGCTGTTTCAGCGCAGTTTCTCGTAGTGTGAGGTCATTTGCATGACTCTCCAGTTTCTGTTCAATGGTGCTATCAATTGCGGTTACAATTGTTTCGCTGAGTTCGTATAAGATATGGAGATGCTCTTGCCAGTGGTGTTGGTATTGCACACAGATTTGAGAACCACCAAACGCCATACAGCCAATTAAACCAGGATGGGCCATTTGGTCGGCTTGGACATCGGAGAGGTAGCAGACAGGATGGCAATGCGCTTTATAGACTGTTATCCTTTTGTCTTCCTCCGTGCCATCACTTCTGACCTCTACACAAGCTGCGTTTCCACAAACAGTGCGCGGCATGTCTAATGGAACGGCTGTCGTCTGTGTTTTCAAGACGTGTAGTCGCCCTCGCAGTGTATCTCCGGTTAGTCTCTCATCTTTGAGCTCTTGCATTTTATCCTCCGCAAGTGCTATGCTGGATTGGATAACCTGCGATATCTCTGCGATGGGCTTTGTAAGTTCTCCGATCAGCTGTCGGGTGCCATTCAAACTAACTGTGTTTTTGACCTTATGCGGGATATTTTGTTTGAAGTGCCTGATAAGTCGAAGGCTTTCGTCACGGGAGTGCTTCCAGCTCCGATCAAAATTCAGCTTGTTCGACATGGGAACACCGTTCTTGTATGCTGCCAAGTACCGAAAGCTTTCAGAATCAAAGCAGTATGTGGTGGGTGTCGACAAGCTCAGACCCATATCTGGGTGTTGTTGAAGTAACGCCTTCAGTGGTCCGTATGTGTCCCCGGGTGTGTAATTGGATATTCGGGTATTTGTGAACCCAAATGCCATGTTTTTGGCTGCTTTATGATGAAGATGTGTGAGAAGCTCTTTGATACAGTAACTAAAACTGATAGTTAAGCGAGCAGAGTTCGACTTCAACAAAATAAGAATGCCGTGAAGCTCATCATATCCGCTCAATGTCGACAGAATATCAGCCATGTTTTTTCTGTCAAAACCAACTCCGCGAGTGTCGCCCATACCTGGGGTGTCAATAAGACGAACGGTGAGTGCAGAATTGTCCATGTTAAATGTAACAGGATAGACTTGTGTGCGCTGTGTCGCCGACTCGCCTTTCGAGCCATCCTTTTCATCATCTCTCGAGCCGACCTTGATTCGTCTTTCTTGGATAGGTTGACTAGGATTGTCTCTGTCCATGACCTGTGTCGAGAATGAACAAGGAATCACGTAGTTTAGTTTATCAAAACCAATCGCTTCATCGAGTGTTTCAAACTCAAGGTAATTGATCAAAGCATTGATGAAGGTCGATTTGCCGACGCCGGTTTCTCCAAGAATGAGTATGTTAAGGTACTTGGATTGACAAAGGCCATTGAGTAGACGCAGAAAGTGTTCTAAGTCATATGATGCGTACGACGGGCCATGTGATTCATTATTGCACCTGAAACTGTAGTTCGAATAAAAACTCCTTCCACAGTCACAATACAAGAATTTATCCGAAAATCCATACTCGTACGCTGGTGGGTGGCCATTGTAGGCATACTCGGTTCCCCTTGATCTGCTGCTTGATGCTACGGGATTCTCATGAGAATCTTCCGATTCATCTCGATATACACTATTGTTGTATGCGCTCGGTAGGTGGTCGGACAGAGCCAGGTTTTTGGCCTTCATCGTTGCGCGTTAAGGCCCCGAAAGCTGTGTCAAGAAAGGATGGCTCGGCTCGGATACATATGTACTCAATTTAAAACCAGAGGGAGGAATTGTCGTTCTGCCATTCATTGGTGAATTGTTGGGGCTCATAGTCGTTGCCTTGCGGTGGTGGCGGCGACGCGCAAGCAGGGGCGAAGGTTAGAGTAGCTCGGAACAACCCCCTTTACATTGCCACTCGCGTCCATCAACAGCGCGGTAAGATTACTATGAGGTTGGGCTGTTTCTGTTGTTTCTGTTCCTTTTTTAAGTCTTTGAAACTTTTATTTTTGGTGGAAAATACCTCTGTCGATATTCCTTGGCGCAATGGATTTCTACAGTGCTATTTTCATTTTAGATTCTATTTACATACCTGTAGGGTTACTTCAGCGATTGACAGTAAAGGTGGTAGTAAATACTCCGTACTTAGTCTCTTCCTACCTTGTTCTGGTTATTCTCAATTCACAATTGATATATTCTAGCGAGCTAGGAGAAATTGGTCAACCTAGATGCCGGGAAACAATTAAGTGCAACTGTTTCAAAGCATTAAGGGATAGATTGTAAGGAAAAGTTGGGGGTCAGAAAGACAGGATATGTACGGCTGCGTTTGTTGTCCACTGCAAGCCCCTTATGCGCAGTTGAGCGTCTGTCTGCCTCTCCTCATCTCAGCTGTCCAGCCTTGTTATTCTAACAGTTGAAATTTCTTCCTTCCAATATATATATTCTTCCTACAACCAGACATCCATCATTCAAAAACCCAATACCCATGCTCTCAAATCCCCATTGCGACGAATATGGCGGTTCTCAACTTCAAGGACTACCAGGTGGCTTGGATTGCACCCCTACGGATCGAGGTTCGGGCTGCGCTGAAGATGCTTGACAACGTCCACGATGGAAACTTCGAGTCAGATGCTGGTGACGATTATCAGTATATCGGTGGTGATATCAACGGACACAACATTATCATAGCGACTTTCCCACTAGAGACTGCATATGGAGGAAACTCCGCAGCCGCCCTTGCCAGTCAGGTCAAAAAGTGCATGGGCAACAGTCTTTGGTTTGGCCTTCTGGTTGGAATCGCTGCCGGGCTACCAAATCCGCAGAAAGATATACGCCTCGGCGACGTTCTTATATGTACCAAGGTTATTCAACACGACATGGGAAAACAAACTACCGAAGGATTTGTAAACACTAGCAAACAGGCCGACTCTCTTCAATTCCTCCGCTCTGTATTTACTAAAATCGATGATCTTACAGAAATCAAAGGGCATCCCTTTCTACAACATCTTTCGAGAGTCCAAGACGTGGCAGACGACCAAGGAAAATTCCTTTTTCGAGATCCCGGAGAAGAGAACGACGTTCAGTACAAGGAAGTAGGCAGAAGAGAAGTAAGAGAGCAACGCCAGCCTCGGAACGAACATCGAACTCGAACGTGGTATGGCGCGATAGGGTCCGGCAATACATTGGTGAAGTCCTCAAAAGAAAGAGACGAATTACGGGATCTCTACGAGATTGTCGGACTCGAGATGGAAGCACATGGAACGATGAACACGATTCCTGTTGGTCACATCCGAGGGGTTTGCGACTATGCCGACAAGCGCAAGAATGATGACTGGCATGGGTTTGCGGCTGCCGTTGCGGCGGCATATGCGAGGGAGGTTCTCTGCGAAATCAATCCAAGAAGGGTTGTGAATGGTAAGCCAATTCGTTTCTAGCTATCAACTCCAGTTAACCCCTTCCTCAGTTTAACTGAGATCAATGCATTGGTTGCTATTACCCCTTTGGTCTCATTTATTATCCTATGCAAGGACAGTTGTACTCATTCATTAAGAAGGTCCTAGGAGCAGTCCATTTAGGGTAATAGTTACAACTGTATAAAGATGTAATTGTTCTAGGATGTTTTGTAAAACTCTAGGTCAAATGCGTTACTAGCTAAATCCCTCTGCAGTTTCAAGTTTGAACTGTAATAAGTCCCGTGTAGTTTGAATTACGGTTTCCTATTTGAAGTTCCTTGCTTATAGGGTATAGATGGGGAGAATTTTCTGTTGCAAGCAATATCTATTTTTTAAACAAGTCTTTTTGTTTATGTAAGGACTTTAAAAAGTAACAACACCCTACTAATCCCCTCTTAGCAGATGTTCAGTGGCTCGTTCCATTTGGACGTAACAAGAACTTTGTTGGTCGTGAATCTCAACTCGAAGAACTTGTAGCCAAATCCAACCCAAATGGTAACAAGGAGAACTGCCAAAGAGTGGCTGTAACAGGACTCGGTGGAATAGGCAAGACACAACTTGCTCTTGAGACTGCTTTTCGAATCAAGGAATTGTCTCATTGCTCAGTATTCTGGGTGCCCGCTATCGACATAGCTAGTTCTGAACAGGCCTATCGTGAGATTGGAGTAAAACTTGGGGTTCATGGAATCGACGACGATAAGGCCGATATCAAGCTACTAGTCCAGAGGGCGTTGAGCAAGAAGACTAGTAGCTGGCTAATGATTATCGACAACGCAGATGACATGAACATACTCTATGCAGAGACATCCCGACTAGTGGATTACCCTCCGTTTAACCAGAATGGTTCGATCCTTCTTACGACTCGGAACTTTGAAATTGCGACCGAATTTTCGGAAACAGATGTTATTACTGTTGAAGAAATGTTTGCTGATGAGGCTCAAGATCTTTTAGAGAAGAGTCTAGGTACTAAGGTTCAGGCAGACGAAAGAGATGATATGCGAAGGCTCCTCCAGCTTCTTACCAATCTTCCTCTTGCAATTAAACAAGCAGCAGCATTTATGAGAGGAAAGAAGAAGTCTATCTCCACATACCTAAGGGTCTATTCGTCCAGCGACACAGAACTTATCCGAAATCTGACTCTGAATTTCGAAGATCAGGGTAGATATAGAGGATACAAGAATATACGGAATCCTATCGCAGCAACTTGGTTAATTACCTTCGAAGCAATTACGCAGTCTGATCTTGCTCACCAATATTTATGCTTTATGTTTTGTGTCGCTGCAAAGGATATTCCCCGCTCACTCTTGCCGCTAGCCTCAGATCGAGAACAAGAGGACGCGACTGCTGTTTTAGAACAATATGCGTTCATCACCCCACGAAATGCGGGCGCATCTTATGATATGCATCGGCTGGTTCACTTAGCCGGGCAAAATTGGCTAAAGTCACAGGAAACTTGGACTTTGTGGAGTACAAAGTCGCTTAGCCAAGTTGCTAAAGTTTTCCCATTTTGCGACCATAAAGAGCGACATCTATGTTTACAGTATCTTCCTCATGCTCAATATATACTCGAGAAAGAAATCTCAAAAGAGTTTGACCAAAGTCGATGGAAATTACTGTTCCTTGTTGGGCAATGTTTGTCAGAATTCAATAAATATCGAGAGTCTGAGATAAAATGCCTACAAGCGCTCCAGTTGGCCGAGAAGGCCCTTGGACCAGATCACACATTGTGAGGGTTAGAACCCATAGTGGGGCTCGGGCCTAGAGCCCTCGCTAAGCTAAGCGACCCCACCCCGCCTCTGGAACGCCATGGAATAAGATAGAATGCTATGACGCAGAAGATTGGTAATACTATGGAACAGTGTTGAATGCAATGGAAATGCTACATTTAGTATAAGAGTAGAGGAGGAACATGTATTTACAGACCACGTAGTTCTTAATTGAATATTGAACCCACACCTTTGAGTTGTTCGAGGTCTGGCCTCTCACAGGTACCCTCTAATGCAGTATGGTGCAAAAGCGTTCTCCCTTGTATGTCTGGTAAAGTTATATCAACGCCTAACTCTATGAAAATCTCTAGAACTACGATGATGTTTCTGTAGCAACGAGCAGACAGATGGACAAGTGTTCGCCCTTGGACATTCCTTGCAAAAGGGTCGGCTCCTTGCTGTAGCAGCCATTGGCAGATGCTGCCATCAACTAGAGGTAGTGGATTCTGAAAGTAGAAAGCGAGCGGTGAGTTCCCCTTGGTGTCTCTACCATCAACCCTAACTCCTCTCTTCACAAGCAATTCCACAAGTTCCATGTCGGGGTATTCAGTGAGCGCATGGTGCAGGGCATTTCTCCCGGCTTTGTCCCTTGACTTGGCTATATTGAGACTATCCTTCTCAGAAGCTTCAAGAACGCATAATAACGTCTCCAGATTCCCACTTCTAGCGGCGTAATGAAGCGCGTTCAGTCCTTTATTATCCATATGCAAGATGTTTGCACCGTATGTGAGAAGTGCCCTAACAGATTCCACGTCGCCAGCTCGACAGGCAAGTTGTAGCGGAGATTGATTTTTGGAATTCGCAACTAAGACTTTGGCACCTTTTTCAAGAAGTTTAGTCACAATACTACCACATTCCGGCTTCCCGTAGGGAGCGCGGTGCAGTAATGAGGCTCCCTCGACATCCTTTAAATTAACATCAATACTAGAATCTTCAAGGAGTCTTTCAATTATGGCCATTCGCTGTTTAGTAATCCAAGCGTACGTTTCATCGTAGTCACAATCGTCTTCCCAATCTACGAAGTCCAAAGAAATCTCAACTCGGTAAATGTCTTGCAATCAATAGTCGGAGTATCTTGTCCCTTGCACATCCTTGCAAAGGGCAAGGTGTAATGGCGTCTCTCCATGATAGGAGGCAGCGTTGGGATTTGCGCCATGATCCAGGAAAAATTTGACCATTTGCCTGTCTCCAACTAGTGCTGCATAGTGCAAAGGTGTAAGACCCCGCGGGCTACACTGATTTGCGATGTTTGATTCTTCGTGTCTATCACGTGGTTTGTAGATCGTCCTGTCCCCAGACACGCTTGGCAACCATGTTTTGCGGTCAAGGTTGATGTCCACAGAAACTCCTTTCTCAATGAGTAACTTGGCTATGTCCTGCCGACTGTATCTGACGGTATAATGCAATGGTGTCATGTTGTCATAGTCAATTAAATCGGTGGGTGCATTGAGCTCCAGAAGTGTCCTTACAATTTCAATTCCGCGATTCCCTTCAGCGATGGCGTAATGTAAGAGACCTTTTTGCCGTACGTCAACTGCAGTAGGGTTACAATTCTGATCAAGCAGATATTGGACGGTTTTTGAATGTGCTTCCGCTACTGCATATGACAGAGGGGTTCGCCCGTGGTTGTCCTCTACATCTGGATTAACACGTCCACTTGCGGTCAGGAGTTCAACTGCTGCCTGGTGTCCTCCTTCAGCCGCAAATGACATTGGTGTTCTTCCCATGCCCTCGAGCCCTGCAGATCGCGACTCTGGATTGACTCCATCGGTCCCAAGCAGTTGTTTCATAATAGCCGTGCACCCTCTTCCAGCTGCCCATGAAAGTGGTGTCCGACCATATTTACCCTCCACACTATCGGATTGTACCCTGCCAGTAGCAAGCAACAGCTTCACTACCTTCTCATGGCCATTCATTGCGGCCAATGATAGTGGTGTTTGTGCATTCTCATCTTCCACGTCCACATTTACATCGCCTCGGGCAAGCAGGAGTTCGACAACGGCTGCGTGTCCGAATATTGAAGCTCTCGAAAGTGGCGTTTGATTGAAATTATCTCTTGAGTCTTGATTAAGATTACCTATGCCAAGAAGGATCTTGACGACAGCTTCGTGCCCATTTCCAGAAGCATGCGATAGCGGCGTACGACCTAATTCGTCCTTGGAGTCACTCGTAACTCCCCGAGTAAGCAGAAATGCGACGGTGGCGTCATGCCCTTCATCTGCAGCCCACAATAGCGGCGTTCGAAGCCCAGAGTCCTCCTGATCTAAATTATGACCACGCAAAAACAACTCCTCCAAGATTTCTGTAAGTCCAAAATGCGCCGCTAAATGAGCTCCTGTCACGCGTTTTGGAACTACATGGCTGTAATTGGGATGTGACCGGTAACGCTCAACAGCAATCAGCGATTGATGTGCTGCTTCCACTTTCGGATTGTTCTCCAGGAATCCGAGGTGTGCTTCAGTTACGGTAGGAGCCTTGTGGGCGTGGGTTCCCCAATATCTGGAGGCATATTCGTAAGGGGGATTTTCCTGCAATCTTTCCTCGAACTCTTCATCGGTCGTGCATATCCCCACTCTAAAATTATCAAAGGAGAGGTACTTAGCGCAAGTCATGGAAATTTCAGTCTCCGCATTTGGGAACCACTGTTCCTGCGTCCGTTCAAAGAATTGTTGGGTGGTGTAATGAACTAATCGTATGGTACCGCTTTGTTCATCCACCCTCACTAATCCAGCACACAAAGTGATTAATTCCGTGACGTCCGTCATGTTTTCTGGATCTAGATTCATTTCACCAATTTCCACAGCGAGTGCATGTTGGAGCTCCGTTGTGCTTAGTGGCCTTCTTGCACAAGTAATCCATGAGAGAGCCCGCTTAGCAAGCTCTACATCGCCAGATAATTGTTGTTCAATGCGAGCCATGACTTTCTTGTATGCATCGTCATACGCATCAGAACCAGATGACAGTTCTTTCAACATGGCTCGAACAGCTTTTGGGGATCGCTTCTCAGCCAATGATTTAAGCTGAAGCTGCGCGAGTAGAAACCTGTGAACAAATTAGTATTTTCCAGATAATAAAAAAATAGCTACATACATGCCGTCGATAGCATTCACGATCTCACCTTTAATTTCCTCTTGCAGATTTGGATTTTGTTGAACACAAGATGAGAGCCAAAAGATGTGATAATCGAGATATCTCCGTATGTCATATTCGCTAGCTCGTATTTCTAACCGCGCACTATTTTGGAAATTTTGGTTGACTTCCGGCATGAACCTTGAAGTTGTAAAGAGACTTACGTTGTACTCAATCTGGAGGCGGGATACCTCTTTTAGTATTGTCCGGCAGCTATGAGATGCCTGGCATTCATCGAGTGCGTCGATAACAATAAACGTTCGCGAATAGATAGCAATCACCAACTAGAGACTCTGAGAAACTTCGTCGAGTGACAGCCTTGTGTATCGAGTCTTGTGTCGCTTATAGAGACTTTTTACGCTTTCCGGGAGGAAAAGCTATCTTGCAGCTAGTTGTTTTAAGATGCTCGCCAGCAAATGATCGGGTTTTTGCTCGGCTTGGCGTCGAAAATCGCAATACAAATACGCAATGCCGATGTGTCTATCATTGTAGAAGCGATTATCAAGGTCTTATACCACAATTGATATCAGAACTGTTTTTCCTACCCCAGGAATTCCCAGACAGAACAAAGTTTACTGATCCATTCCTATCCACTTGTGAAATTCTGCCGATTCTAGAAGCCACTAGCCAGTCCCTTCTAGCCTCTGACCCAGATTGTTACTTTGCTAAGTGCCATAATCAGTAGGAGTGAGCCAACTAAGAATAGCTTAGTCCTCGTCGCGACGGTCGCGATAATCTTGCCGCTGATGTAATCGATCAACACTGCTTTTCGTCTCCAGGGATATTTAACTAGTTTGACTTTGTTCAGACTGCATATAGACTGAAAACACTTTAGAAATAACAACCTTATAATCTTACCTTGAAAGGCATTTAAGATACTAACATGGGAAATGAGGCGGCTGCGGAGCTCCTTAATATCCTCCGGCTCCCACTTAAGCTTCTTCCACTCTCTTTTTATCCGCCGTCCGACACTCCTAGAACCTGGCTTCAGTTCGCCATATTTATCTACAGTCTGTTCGAGCTTTTTAAGAACATTCATGCAACCGTCGACAATTTCTCGAAGTTCCATATTTTGCTGAATATTGAGGTCCGGTTTGGACAGTACGACTTCGACATCTTGGAGCACGATCGAAAGGCTTCTCACTCTGTGCAACCAAAGTTATTAGTAATGCCTAGTGATCTTATCAGAAACATACTCGTCAGAGACATCTTTGAATTGTTCCGGCGCATCTACGAATTCCTTCCGGATCCGTTTAGCAAGCTCGATTACTGCAATAAAATCGCCAATGCTAAAACCGAAACTCATTGTAGTGTCAAGCACAACTTTCCAGGAGCACAGGAAAGATAGGTTAGGACATAAAAGGTAGAGAATAAGAAATGCTTGCCAGCCTGGCTTCACAGGCAAAGTTGTACGTAAGCCTCACCTGGTTCGCATTTCAGGCAGCCACATCCCTGAGAGGCGAGAATCCGATTGACCGCCAAAATCCTAAAATCGCATATCGAATATTCTAAGACTATAGAACTTTACTCGAAGATACTAATAGACATATCATAACCTCAGTTGTCTTGACGGGAGAAGAAGATGCTACGATCGCGGGATCGTCACGTGCGGCCCTCAGACCATAGCCTAGCACTACTAGATGTAGTTAGTGGTGCACAATCTCATTTTATAAGAAGACAGTGCAGAGATCTAACGCCCTAGCGGTATTTTCTAGCGACGATAAGTTACAATCGTTTTTTAGTATTTAAAAAAAAAGCTATGTAGTAATTTTTACAGATTCCGAGCGCCTCCGGGAATGATATTTCCTCACCGCCTTCTCGAATCTATACTAGCAGTAAATAATTCGTGGCCCACCAAATATTTCCTCACCGTCTTCCCGAGTACTGCCGGGAAATAGTTCGTGGCCCGCCGGATTTATAGTTGAATTTTCACGCAAGAGCTTGCGAATTAGATGTTATTTCAAGTAGGAAATATCTAGGGGGATAGCTTATTTAAGAGTCCTAAAAAGCAGGTCATCTCTACCAAGACCACTAAATGTAGGTAACATTGATGTTCTAGCCGCCCGCCGTAGTATTTTATTCGCTTATCCAACTTCAATCGAAAGATTAGTTAACTTAGAAATCTTTAGCTTCTGTGACGACACGTACGCAAGGCCCACGGTGTAGGTTGTGGAATCGTAGAACTGTCAATTAAACAAAGATTCTAAGCTGAGGAGAAGAGGAGAGCTCGAGAGAGCTTCGATCTAAATACTTGGTGTGGGTCGCTAAGCGAGACCACGTGATCCGAATGGTGGTGACGGTTAGAACCGTCACAGCTTCTCATTTATTTACACTCCCAATCTCAAGATATAGAAGAAAAGTAGAGTTTAATAAAATGGATTTTCTATAAAAAGGAAGAGATTCAAAGGATTAAAGATATTTAGAAAGTTTGTACACTACGCTACTAACAAATATCAACAATTCCACATTCACTAATCCCATAACATATTCCTTACAGCTAACGATAGCAGCGTGTGACTATTACAATCTCTTGAGTCGGCCTCCAACTTGCCAGTCTCCACTAGTAGCTTGACTACTGCCCTATGCCCTCCTTCTGTAGCTGCTTGAAGTGCATTGCTATAGAAACCACCTTGAGCGTTGACATCGGCATTCTTGTCTAGCAATAGGTTGACTCTGCCTCGTGCCCTCCTAACGAAGTTGCTTAGAGTACGTTGCTATACTTTCCAGTTTAAGCTTTGACATTAACATTCTTGTCCAGCAATAGCTTCACTACTGCCTCGTGACCTAATTTGGAAGTATTAAAGGGAGTCAGAGTGGAGTGATTAGTTGGATTAATTGTCTAACTCTAGGTAGGTGGGAGTGCAGAGATTATATACAGAATTGGGAGCTATTTAGGGATTGGAGACCTTGTTTAACAGATACGTTTCGTATTACATATTACTCATTCTATATCCCGCATTCACTGATACAATCACAGTCTCGAGTAGCGTCACAACAGTCTTGTGCCCATTCCAAGCAGCTAATGAGAGTGGTGTCTGACCATGGTCGTCCTTTGAGTCGACAACCACCTGGCCTGTCTCGAGGAGTAGCTTCACAACAGCCTCATGCCCATTCTCAGCAGCCCATGAGAGTGGTGTCTGACCATCGTCGTCCTTTGAGTCGACAACCACCTGGCCTGTCTCGAGGAGTAGCTTCACAACAGCCTCGTGCCCATTCGCAGCAGCCCATGAGAGTGGTGTCCGACCATCGTCGTCCTTTGAGTCGACAACCACCTGGCCTGTCTCGAGGAGTAGCTTCACAACAGCCTCGTGCCCATTCGCAGCAGCCCATGAGAGTGGTGTCCGACCATCGTCGTCCTTTGAGTCGACAACCACCTGGCCTGTCTCGAGGAGTAGCTTCACAACAGCCTCATGCCCATTTTTTGTTCCTGCGTGTAGGGTGGTATTTCCGTTTTTGGTTCTCAATCGAAAATTGGACCCTCCCAATAGAAGTGCAACCATTTTCTTGTGGCCTATTTTGCAGGCCATGAACACTGCTGTTTCGTGAGATATGTTCATAGCTTTGATATTAACCCCCTTTTGAATTAGTAAATCGACTGCTGCTTCATGTCCATTCTTTGCTGCTTTGTGAAGTGGGGTAGCGTCAGCACCATCTCTTACATCAAGCTCCGCGCCATGATTAATGAAAATCTCCATTAACGTAAGCAGTCCATTTGCTGCTGCCAGATGCAGTGCTGCCTCTCCATATATATTAAACAACTTTAGATCCGCACCCCTCTTTACTAAGAGATTCACGATTTCCGTGTTTCTGCCTACAATTGCAAGATGTAGAGCAGTCTCCTCGCGTCCATTCCTTTTGTGTATATTAGCATTCCGATCTAGGAGAAGACGTATAGTAGATATATGTCCAAGTTCTGTGGCTTGATGTAGGGCGGTTGAACCGCTATCAGTTTCTGCGTCAATCTCTGCCCCAAGGTCAAGGAGCATGGATACTATATTGTCTTGCTGATTTCGAGCAGCAATATAGAGTGGGCTCCACCCATTGATATCCTGAAGGCAAACGTTTTCCCCCTTGTGCGCCAACAGGCTGACAATTGACGCATGCCCATTATTACTTGCCCAGTGTAGCCCGCTCCATCCAGCATTACTATCGGCACGAATCCCGGGTGCTTTGCTTAGTAATGACTGTACCAGCTTTTCGTTTCCCTCTGCACAAGCAGTAAAGAATTTTGCGTGCAATGTTGTAAGTTTCCAGACAAGTCTGCCTTCAACCCCTAGTGTGGTGCTAATATGTGGTTTCTGATATTGTGCTGCTTGCTCTGCTAACAACTTAACTATATTAACTATATTAGTATATATTATAAAGTTGTCAGATAATTCCACTAACCATATTCTAACTTCCAACTAGTAATTTCAAAAATGCTCTCTTCAATATTCCCAGAAACTTTTAGATCTTTACATGCAGAGAAAAGTGCAATCACAGTATCATGCCATTTTGTTTGCACCGACTCATAAAGGTTCTTAAGAAAGTCGAGATTGTGTTTTGCCAATGTGAAACATTCCATTCTAATCTCAGCGCCTATCGTAATTGCAAGTATCGTAAACATAATAGTGAGGATCTCGGCAGAACCAGTCTTCTTACGGATAACCTTGCTTAGTTGCTTGAGGTACTCGACGATTGATGTTTTCATGGTCTGGATCAGCTCGGCAGAAACCGAGGGAGAGGCATCGCTCTGGCCTTCGATTAAGGAATTGCACAGCTGGAGAGATGTTGAGAGGGACTGGAACGCCGGTACAACCAACATCTATTACAGTTAGCTAATTCGATATATTACAGAGGATGCTATACATCACTGTTGGTTATAGTAATATCTTCTTCAATAAGATCAATGACATAAGAATAGAGCCCAGTTTTAAGTATTCCTTTCGCGGTGAGCCGTTTAATGCCAGTTTTGATCGAAAGTAGAAGGTCGGAAAAAGATAGGTGAGCACAATCTTTAGCCAAGCCTGGATTTGGTGGGGATGGATAGTCTATGTATGTGAGTACATATATTGGATTTCGAGTGAGACTACTGACCAGGGAACAAAGAATTTGCTAACATTTCCAATTTCCCCCTTCGGCATCCTAGATTTGGATGAAGCGCCCAGAAGCCACCCAAGTTTCGCCGGCATTCTTGGCAAGTATCTTCTCCGTCACACTGTACGAGTTAACACGTGATATCTCGGCATAACTATCAGGGGGTACCTGCGGTTTTCTTGAGGTGTTGACATCGCCAACAGGCACCTAAGCCTTTCTTTAAATCATTCCCTCGTTTTGACACTTCCCCATAACATCCTTTGCCCTGACGGCGACCGGTGCCACCACTTTGTTGTTGCCGTTTTGCTGGATTACTAGTACTCGAGTCAATAAATTCGTAGCTCCGTTTTTGTGCCATTTTTGGGGATCAAAGGAATAAGATGAATGCAATATGCGCGCGATTTTGCTTTCCAGGTAGGCGGTCGAAAAGGAAGAGGGCCAGTCTCAGCTTTTAATCGAAGGGTAGGGAGCCACGCTTACGCATGTCGCACAAGGCTGTGGCATACCTTGCAATCTTTGAAATGGGCTATACCGTCCCGAGTAGGCGGTGGACGAGGGAGGTTGCTAGGCAGAAAGTACCGTCGACCGCCCTCTTTATTCGGATCGCGCTGTGACGTGTGGGTAGGTAAATGCAGCCACAAATCAGACACATCACGTGCCCAATGAAAAATGATGTTGTCGACCGCCTACCTGGGATGGGAGGCGGCCGCATCATCCTGACACCACTACAGTCGTAGAACCTTATAATTTTGGGGCGATTCCTTTCTAGGTGGGCGGTCGGAGGTTAGAATGTCGACCGCCTACTTTTAACGTTCATAAGTCTTGGGCAATGAGAAGAAAATAGGCCGGCCTCTTACATGAATCCAACTGTATCCATGCTACGGGTGTCCTAACCTTTCTTCCTACTTAAATCTCAGATGGTCGTGAGTCCTTCAATCGTTTATTCCGAAAACCACTCCTTCTTCTTAGCTATTATTCAATCAACATAATAAATCCTACAAGACTCATTAAGACGATACCCTCCCTGCCCTCTGCCTATGTTCAATTTCAGGCACGTACCCTTCTACGTTGTATATTGAGCAGTCTCCAAATATATCAATTAGCACATTACAATTGCTTTTCGACCTACATATAATCCCAAATTTGATTCGTGAGTTTCCATTTCAATTATGTTTATACCCTGGTGATTTTTGAGAACAAAACGATACAGCAAGATTATTTGGTCGGGTCTCTATTTGCTCGCAATGTTTCTTCAACCATCTATGCACAAGGCCTTGAACTCTAGGTCTGGCGGGGAATCAGTATTCTAGCCATATGCAGTCAGTATCATATATCGCTCCATATGTCTCCAACGAAGGTTGTTCAGTGCTACTAAGCTACACTTAGAAAAAGCCTGTGGAGTTTCGCCTCTCTTTCTTACACTATCTAACACGGGTACCAGCCTAGGAAACACTAACAGGTCTAGTGATTCAACCCGTTCGCTAAAAGTCGTAATACGAAACGGTTCAATGGCGTTCTTTGCTACACTAGTCACATCGTGCTTCCGTGATCTCAAAGAACCTTCTGGGACCAACGGTGGCTTCATCCAAATAGTTACTATATACAGTAACTCGGACCCTGCAATTTTCAGGCGCGTCACAGCTGTGCTCGACACTGGAAACAATGGACCTAACTTGATCACTCAAAATGTCATGGATGCGGTCGGTGCTCAATCGACGGGAGATGGGGTATTCATCGAAACACTTGACGGAGGGACAAGAATGACTGGCGGTAAAGTCGTCCTGGAATTTTCAGGTTACAGACCAAGGCAAGGTCGACTTTATAAAGAGACATTTCACCACGTTCCTTATATCGCAGGTGGCTTTGACATAGTTTTGAACTACGACTTCTTTACCAAAGCATTTCCGAAAATGGTTCCTCCAGTGTTGATGATAAGATCCTGTAACAAGAAAGAAAAAAAAGGTAAAGATTAGAATAACGTGTTTTTCTATGACTCTTTGAAACTAATCCCTTTTATAGAACAGAAACAACGAGAGCAGCAAATTCTTGCTCAAGAGCTTCAGCAAAAACAGAACGCGGAGCAGCAAGAAAGAGCACGACAACAAGATGTTCGAATCTTGGAGGAAAGAAGACTTGCTCAAGGAGGAGACAGCGGAGAATCAAACAGTGGATAATCTGCTCGTTCCAGTGACTACGGCTATAATTCGAGTAGTCTAGCCAGAGGTTGATTGGCCGGAGCGAATTAGGACTGCGTTCTATTGGTGTCCTATTAGCGAGAATGTTTTCGGTAGCGAGCAGGCGAAACCCTCCGAGGCGGTTCAAGTAGGGCGGGCCTTTCGACTAAACTTTGACAGCGACACATGAATTTGGTATATGTTGAGGGCGTTGATAATAAAATTGATTAGGTAGAAGAACTACCGATAAAAACCACTTGTACACTTGCAAACCTATAAACTCAAGATGTTAGCTGTGATTCGACAGAGAAAGCGTATTACTAACGCAGCAGTCGCAGCAAAGATCTCAATCCTTCTGGCCTTTGTCGTCGCCATCAGTGCGAGTGAGAATATAACTGTAAACATGGCCACCATAGCGAGTCGCTTTAGCATGTCGTGAACAAAATATAACACCACAACGGCCAATACTGGCAATAATGCCGATACAGCCATCCCTATCACATTAGCCAGTCTAATCACGGCCTCCTCATCGTATTTGTATATCCCGTTTTCCACATCAACCGGGCTGCGATATCGGCTCCATAATATATGGAATGGAAAGGTTAGGTATTTGCGCAGTATCCGTGTTAAAGAATCGTCCGCCAGGCCATCAGGCTTGGCCACAAGTAGATCCCGACCATCTTTCCAGACTTGTCTATCTAGGCCTTCAAGTGCACTTTTTCCGTGTCTGGGGTCGCGAAGCCATTCGTTCAAAAACTCAAGGTTTCCCGCTTCAGGCTCATGGAAGGATGTAAGTTGACGCTGCTGCAAGAGACAGTCATCTGTATTCGAGCAAGTAAGCAATTAAACTTCTCTGGGGATTTCGGAACCATCCTTACTATACTCCTTCAGTTTCTCCTTGATTCTCAACATCGTGTGCCACTGCGAGCCTGCTAAGCCTTGTTCTTTCTTGCTTAAATAATGCCAATTCTTGTTGCAAAGCCTCCTCCTAGCATCTTCAGATCTGCAGTCTTTCTCCGTGTATTCCTCGAGGTCGCGTTCCAGATTGACAAGCTCGGCTTGTAGGTATAGAAGGTTTCGTGCATTAAGTGTCGCAAACCGCCGGTATATGCCTAGCTGGGGGTAAGTGCCCTGGAGAGCTGCAAGTGCAGGATAGCCTTCAACTTGAACTTTTAGAACATTCATTTCAATAGTATGCTCTGACATTTTTTTGGCAGATACTGAATAAGATAGAAGGATGGTTCTCGAAATCAATTACCGCCAGGTACTGCAGTATCATGGAGCAGTGGGGAGGGATAATGACATCTATATAGGATAATCTAGACAAGGCTCACTCAGCCTGGTCGAGTCGTCGTGCCCAATATGCAGGGCAGCCTAGAAATAGCAAATATAACTAATTGAGAGATAGGCTGCCTATTTCCAGGCGCCAGATACCACAGAAACAATAAAGAAACAAATACGTCTGCAGTGAAGGGCATGCCAGGCTTTTGTGGGTATTAAGAGACCTTGGATGGTTGTGGTCTAAGGAAGTTTGTTAGCGCATGACTTATAATAGCCATTTGGTTATTTTCGCGGCTGAGTCCAAAAGTTGAACTTGGGAGGAAAGCAGGCCCTCATTTGTCGAAACAACAGTGTACATAACTAGCTTAATTATCCAATTTTCCGACCTCGTCAAAAAGGTGATTTTGCGCCCACACCACCCTCTTTTTTAACCCCCTCAATTTATTACTCCACCACAACACCCTAGATAGCCTTCATATTGCATACATTGCATCTCCACTATGCCCTCCCTTCGCTCAAAGAAGCGTAAGCCAAAAGATCCACCCACAGGCGAGAAACCACCCAAGCGGCGCCCAAAAAAGACCATCAAGGCTGCCGGAGCCTTAGCAGATACACCGCCACCAAAGTCACCACAAAAGCCTAAGGATAAGCCTAAGAAGTCTTACAGGCGTTCCTCCGATCCTTCTAAATGTATACCAAAGGCAAAAGAACAGACACCTATTAACATTCCTAGCTCGGCGGCATCAACCCCTATTCCAACGCGTACGAAGACGATCCCTCCACCTACGCGATTCAACCCTGCCGAAGAAGACATTTTCTGTGCTGAACAGACCACTACCCAAATATGAAGGTATAAGAATAAGATTTAAACGACGCTTTTAGGAACATAAGTCGCTAATAAATTATAATGTCTCTTATAAAATAGCTACGCTTATATAAGCAAGTATATAAAATGCCAGCTTATTAAGCTTATATTTATTATCACATGACTTCGCGTCTTTAACGCGTATGTCTATTCAAGTTCTTTGTTCTAGCTCTTTATTCACTAAAAAAAGACTTCCGCATTCGGCTTCCGGATGCATATAAAACCGCATTCATATATCCGGATGCATATATAAGAATGTAAAGACGGATTTGGTTTCCTTTGTCTATATTTATATATAGCTAGGCTCTAGGAAGCACCTAGAGAAATAACACACATATAATAAATATATTTATCCCTCAACTTTATCTTTCTCATCACGTAACCATCTCACAGAAGGTCATGTTCCTCTTAACACCCCCGAGAAGTTTGCACTCGGCATTGGCTCTACAGTTGGCGCTCTGTGGAATCCAAGACGAGGATATACTTACTGTTCAGCTATATCCTTTGTCTTGCCAACGAACTGACTTTAATTCTGCAGATCTCGTAGGATCTCTCGCCGAGGTGACTGCCTGTCCTTTTATCAAATACCTACGAGACGCCGTTAGCCGATGAAACAGGGCGCCGTATACTCTGTAATCGCCCTCGAATAAATTCAAAGACTCTACCCGTAGGGTATTTGAGAGGATTTCCAACATGCGGATGAGATTGAGGGTCTTGCACGTGACGTTTTTGGGATAGGCCTTTGAGATTAGTTGCTTCGGTGCAGGAGCACAGGTTGTTATTTTCAGAGCTGGGCTATCGACGGCGGTGGTGTGCGGGGTCTTCCGTCTTTGATGCTCCTCTAATGACTCCTCTCCAACATTGATTAGGACTCTCCGTCGAAGCCTCGCAACTATTTTGATTTGATCGGAGGGACAAGCACCGGTGAGTAAGTTGTCTTAGGGCATGGTCTGTTAGAAAATAAGTTCCTGATAGTAAAGCCTTATTGTAATTATGCCTAAGCTATCAAGATCCTAGAACGTATCGTTAGCTTAAACATTATCTCTTTCTTAATTCGATTCTAGACTAATCACGCTAGTTCTAGAATAAGTGATTCTTTATTTCCCTCTACACGCCAGTTCCTTCGTTTTCCCTATACTCCGAGTTAGTTGACGAACCGTCTCTCTCTCTTTTTATGCTAGCGATATCTTTTAACTTTCGTTCCTCCGTGGCTATCGGGATAGATATTATTAAAGGGTTCACGCTTTTATAATGTGAGTAGATAAATTTAATCTGCCTCGTTAATATTTGAGTATTATATTAGCGATATTTACAAGTGTCTTCGATTGAAGTTGGGCCTTAAATTCCTCGCAGTCGTATCGCCTCCTAAATAATGAGCACATGGTGTGTCGATGTGCAAGTCAAGAGAGACAGGGGCGGAGACTTCGTTAATCAAGTAAATAAAATTTAGTTCAAATTATTCGGGCCAAATTGTACACGTACTTGAAGTTATTTCTCTGTGAATATGTATATACAGATGAAGTTGGGAGGCGAAATTCAGAATTATAATCTCATTCTACTAAAGAGAAATTTTACATGTGTGATGCTACCAGTATTTGGGGGACCTGACCAGATAATAATACTCAGTCTTATATGTAATTGCCTGGCGATACTTCTCACTGACTTGCTTATCATATTAGCCTAGGATTTCAACAAGCCTTAACTGTTGTTCTCTAGTCTACACTATCAATCGTGGCCTTGGTTTATTAGCTCTATACCCCATATCCCACCACCCGCTGCCTCGCAACTGCCCTTTTTGCCCTACGGATTCACGCGTAGATATAGAACTTCTAAAATCGTTCCTATCCCCGGGAGCCTCTTTTTCGACAAAGTCCTGTTTTTGGCCATACACAAGTAGTAGGGACGACTTAATTATAACTTTTTAGCATATGTTGGAACATGTGTGATCTGGTCTAACGACATTCTAATAGCCTTGCAACGTGTGATAAAATCGAAAGAGTGAATAGCTATACGATAAAAACTCGGAAATTAGTTCCGAAAAAGGGCTGACTGGGGTTTAACCCTACGCTTTGGCCACTTCCTTGTACTTAAATAGCGCTGCTACTTTGGACCTCTTCTTTCCTTGTAGTCAATCTATTTATTACTCCCCTAATACAACGCCTGCTTATACTTCTCCTTAGACTTAATTAGCTTGCCTCGATCTTTGTAGAGGTTGCCTAAGTTGTTGACTGTGCTAAACCCGTCATCATCTCTGACTCGGGATTGGAAATGGTGTCTACGAGCTTGGTTTGATAGCTATAGCCACCTCGCTTAACTTGATCACTATGTCACCCCGCTTAATGACTACCTCTCTTAATTTGATCACCTTAATCACCTCACCCCACTCAATTAGCAGCATGATCACCTTGCTTAATTGATTGCTTAATTTGATTACTGTGATCATTCCCTTTAATTATCACTATGATCATATAGAACTGCACAGTTATTAAATTTTACACGAATCAAAAAGGGTGACAAGGATGAGTTTTAGGCTGCTTCACCATTTACGAGTAGTGGAAAGATATTTATTAAAGTGAGAATATGCTGCCTAATAGATAGGATGCAATTTGTTTAGTATAGTGTGGCAGGACATGCTGGACTGGATAACTAACGGGGGTAGACGATCTCTTGCCTTCAATTCGAGAGGCTGTTAAAGTTACTTATTCGCGGGAAGAAATTTGTGGTTTGCATAATAGGACTTGAATTTGCTTAGCCATTTAACCTAGTTTGCCTAGGCGCTTAAGGTAAATACTGACCACACCTTAGCATAGTTAGGCTCCAGATGCCTTCAGTCGCAAGTCGTAGTTGAGTGATAATGAAAAAAAACATTAGAAGAGGAACACATATTTTGAAAGCAGTTTATTTTTAAATCGAGCTTAAAGTAATATATTGAAAGCGTTTATTTGTAGAAACCTTTCTTTATTAATAAGTTCAGTATTTAGCAACGAAGGTAAGGTTCAATAAATTTCCTCACCGCCTTTAAACTACTAACTCTTTCACCGCCCTATAAATATCTCCTCACCGCCTTTAAACTACTAACTCTTTCACCGCCCTATAAATATCTCCTCACCGCCTTTATACTACAAAACCTTTCACCGCCCTATAAATATTTCCTCACCGCCTTTACGAGCCGGGTTGCACAGGTCCGTGCGCTACAGGGCATTTTGATGATTCTGCCGATTTTGCTCTCCACAACACCAACAAATATGCCTCCTACAACGATGCCTACAACGCCCCCTCTCGATGATTGGAACCACGATAAAGGCTTTGAAATACGTACAAAACACAAGGAGGCTATGCGCCAATTACACTGGTTCGGAAAAGTCCCGATTTACGCCCTACAGAATCGCTGTAGAGACCCCTCTACTGGTATACTGTAACGAATACTCAAACTGGCTAACTAAACTTGGCTGGGTGTTCGCTGGTTGGTATGCTATGATAAGAAGAAGACTATCGGGTTGTTCACTTGGAAGTGAACTCGTTACTTGTATCAAAGATGTCAAACAAATATGATAAGATTGATAACTAAGTTGAGCACGAAGCTCCTATCTAAATGGCAGACGTGCCAGTCTTATATAGAACCTTCGTTCTCTGTCTAATCGCTTTAGTCGCTCGCCTCAGTCGCTTCAGTCGACAGGCGACTCAGGCGACTGAAGCGATCATGGTCACGTGGTACTTTAATCTATAAGATTGATAACTAAGTTGAGCACGAAGCTCCTATCTAAATGGCAGACGTGCCAGTCTTATATAGAACCTTCGTTCTCTGTCTAATCGCTTTAGTCGCTCGCCTCAGTCGCTTCAGTCGACAGGCGACTCAGGCGACTGAAGCGATCATGGTCACGTGGTACTTTAATCCGACGAAATCCATGGATCGCTTAGCTAGCCTAAGGATCCCCTTCTGCTATAAGAGTTATGATAATGCTCGACCTGTCAGGGCGCCGCCTGGTCTTCACTATCTCCCGTGGTAACACGTGATTCGTGACATATACCTCTTGGAGAGAGCACAATACGCAAAATCCTTGGCTACGCAGCCCCTGAACGAGCTCGCAAAGGGCGTACCGGTCCTGCATTCCTTCTCTCCGACAATGAAGTAGACGAGGTTATCCAATATTGTACTGAAAACTGGGAGAATCGGGTTATGGAGTGGTGGAAAGTAAGGCAGGAATTGGGGCTTGATTGTTCAGTTGCAACACTACAACGTAGGATGCACCAAAGAGGCTACTATCGCTGCGTAGCCTGCCAAAAGCCTTATTTGACTCTTGCGCAAGTTACTGCCCGGTTGCTTTGGGGTCTTGCACATATATTCTGGCATCTAGAGTGGTTGAAGGTCCTATGGTCAGATGAAGTTACATTCCTAGTTGGAGGGCGTACAATCAAGCAAAAAGTAACCCGGATTATTAACAAAGAACACTCTGAACGTTTCTGCGATACCTGTATTCAACACCAGTTCCACCGAGGTCACACTACGTCTGTTAACGCATGGGGAGCGATTGGTTATGGGTATAAATCCCCCCTTATTTTCATTGAAGGCCATGGCAAGAGTGGCGCCTTTCTACAACGAGATTACCTTACGCAACTGTTAGAACCCTATATACAAGGAATTATAGCAGCTTTTGCTCAACTCCTAATTAAATTAAGTCACTGTTCAGCATTCTAGTGATAAATGGGTGTCGGCGAGGGGCGATAGCCGTTCTTATAGGCATCTCGAGAATGAATTTGGTTAACATGGCGAAGGCTGTTTAGGAGAGAGCTTCTTCTGGCTCTGGAGTGCCCCTCTAGAAACGGGGGGGATAACAAGCGGGGGTCATGACTGTGATGGCTATGAGAAGACGAAGAGGTCCACCAGGCCGAGGACGAGAGGTGCGGAGCGACCAAAAGGTGCACGGGTCCCGGTGGCCGTATTAAAGGGCAGAGGTGCGGGATTATCCGAAAACTAGTTAGCAGACCCCTCAAAGCAGCGGTCTAACCCCCCCGAAAACAGCACCCTCCTAACCGTTACACCGTGTAATAAAGTAATATATATATCCTCTTTATTAGATACTACTTTATCTTATACTACTTAGTTTATCTTTTTTTTATATAGAACTTTAATATTTTAATAAATTAATAGTAGTTATAAAGTAGTCTAGTATACTTCGAGTAATTATACTATAAATGTAATAATCTAGGTATAATATAGTTAAGTTTATATTAAATATTTTTATTTATGCTTTTTAATCTTCGTTTAGTATAAATTAATTCTAGTTTAATTATTATACTTAAATATAGTAATTTTCACTAACGTGGTTTATCAGCGAGTCGATCATATCACCGAGTCGATCACTTTTTCTTGGCACAGAACTTTACACCTAAATAAATCAACCACAATATATTAAATTAATTATCGCTCTCTATATCTGACGAAATAGATATATCTATAACTTCTTGACAAGTTCGCGCGTTATGACCAGCTTTTCCACAAGTTCTACAGCGCCGCCTAGAAGGTTGCCCCTCCTTATAACCAACCCCCGCCTCACGCATGTCGCGTCGTACTTGCTCATCTACATCCTCCTGAGCTAACATATCCTGTACATCCTCTACTATAAGTGCCCCTCCTTGGCGGACACGAGTCTTTTTAGCCCTACGGCGTTTACTTAGGGCTTCATTTGCAGCGCGAAGGGTACGGACCTCAGCAGACAAAAGGGTCATCTCATGTGCCATTCGCTCTGTACCCTTTGCTAACGCAGCAACTGTTTGAAAAAGTGGAGTTGGCGAGCTTCCTTGATGACAGGCTATACGATTTCGTACAAGAGTTGATTGTGAAAGGGCTTCAGTTGGGTTGGAAGGGGTCTGGGACACCCAGGGGAGGGAGTTGGCACTACACGTCCGAGGGGGAGTTGGAGTCCGTAACCTTACGTCAAGCTTTGAAAGCACTGCTTGCGGGTTAAATGGTACTAGGCCAGCTCCGCGGAATCCAGACTGACAGTTTAGGACTGTCATTGTTTCCTTGTATGCTGCTGTAAAGGCTAGAAAGAACTCAACCTTTGTAATATGGTTGATATGGGCCTTGATAAACGTCTCAATCTGCCGACCATACGCTCGTTTTAACACACTATAGCACCCAACATCAAGTGGCTGGGTTAGATGGGATGAATGAGGAGGTAGTCCAAGAGTAATAATGTTGTGTTTCGTACAGTAGTCTTGGAACTCAGCCGATTCATGACTCTCGTGCCCATCCAAAACTAGTATTCGATACAGACCCTTTGCACGAGCTGTAGTGTGTTTATCAAAGTGCTTTAACCATTCCAGGCCTGTTTCATTATTTGTCCAACCATTGCTTGTCGGTTTCATAACCCAGTTAGGTGGGAGGCCGCCGTCGGTATACCAGTTGGAGAGATGGTTCTTGCCCTGAACTACCAAGAATGGAGGAATACTCCAGCCCTCCCCATTAATACAGGCAATTGCTGTAGCCCATTCCCGATTGCCTGGCTGAACTGCCTTGCCTCTACCACGTCGGTCTGCACGAGTAACAACCATTCTAGGACAAATAACACCCATCATAAAGCCTGTCTCGTCGAAGTTGTAGAAGTCGGAGTCTGTAACCCCATATTTCGCCCTCATATTCTCTACTAGCCGGAACCATGCGCCTAGCACGTCAGGATCTTCGCATAAGGCCCTCTGGAAGTCGTAAACGCGATTAAAACGCGTCTTAAGGTCTGGTTGTCGTTGTACGAATCGATGGGCCCAGAGCTTGCCGACGCGTCTTCCCCCCCGCGATTCAAGGATAAAATTAGCCATATCTTCTACACCAGCGAGCCGGGGCGCAAATCCTCTGGAATCCATATCCAGTATATACCGAATAATCACTTCCTCTTCTAACTCAGTCAACTTATGACAATTGGCTTGAGAATCTGGGCGGTAGGTTCGGCCAGCCATTCTGTCGGAAAGAGTCGTATATGGTACATTGTAGATCTTTGCCGCAGAGCGTTTGCTTAGTTTTTTGGACGACCGAATAGCCTCGATAGCTAGAGTAATTCGCGCTTCTTGAGTTTGAATTTCCATGGTAAATAGTTGAAGAAAACGTGTGTTGAAGTTTGAGGAGGTAGTGCCAAGGAAAAGTGATCGACTCGCTGATATGATCGACTCGCTGATAAACCACGTTATATATATTTCTATAGTCAACTTATTTATTTTATTTTACTTTACTTTTAATACTTTTTATAATTCTTAGGTTAAATTATATTTATTATAAAGGTTTTAACCTTTCTTAGATAAAGTATTAAATATAAAATTAACTACTTTCGCCTTATCTTATAAGTAAGCCTTTTTATTATTAATATTCTATAAGTTAATCTATTTCCCTATTCTTATATAGTATTATTTAAGTTATTAATAGAGTTTTTTATTATTAATAATATATTTATAGTTAGTATAGTTAATAATTTATTTGTATTTAGTTATACTTTAAGGTTTATAATCTAAGTATACTGTCTTAATATCTATTTAATAATATATTTAACTTCCTTAGTAGCGAATTTTACCTTTATCTACTAGAACTAACCCTTATAGTTATTATATATAAGGATTAGAATATAAGTTTTATCTTTATAGTTATCTATATTATAATAGTAACTATATATATTTATAATATAGGTTTTAATTTTATAAAATTAATTTATATATATAAGTTAGCTTTATTATAACTTAGTAAATATAATATAGTATTAATAACTTTAGCTTTTTATAATACTTACGAATTAGTATTAATAGTAAGCTCTCTTTAGCTTCAATAAAGATTATTCCTATTCTTACTCGATAGTACTTAACTCCTTACTTAATTTAGTATAGGTGGACTATTCTTTCTCGATAGTTTTCTAAAGTCCTTACTTAACTTTAATTTAAGTTCCTTACGTAAACTTAGTAAACCTTTTATAGTTTATAAGTCTATATAATAGTTTAGTTTACTAAGGTAAACCTAGGCTTATAATCTGTTAAGGTATCCTATAGAGATAGTAATAATCCTTTCATAAGATATAAAGTATAATAGGTAGAGTGTCACGAATCACGTGCACACGTGACAAGTGAAGACCAGGCGGCGTCATGACAAGTCAAGCACATCCGTAGACTTATAGCAAATAGGGATCGGTTAGGCTAGCTAAGCGATCCAGGGATTTCCTTTGGTTAACATCACGTGACGAGTTGGGTAGCCTGGAGCGACGAGCGCTCCAGTCGACTGGGTCGACTCGGTAGACGAGCGACTCTGGCGACCCAACAGTTGGAACAGAGGACGAGGGTTCTATATAAGACTGGCACGTCTGCCATTTAGATAGGAGCTTCGTGCTCAACTTAGTTATCAATCTTATCATATTTCTTATAGCAAATAGGGATCGGTTAGGCTAGCTAAGCGATCCAGGGATTTCCTTTGGTTAACATCACGTGACGAGTTGGGTAGCCTGGAGCGACGAGCGCTCCAGTCGACTGGGTCGACTCGGTAGACGAGCGACTCTGGCGACCCAACAGTTGGAACAGAGGACGAGGGTTCTATATAAGACTGGCACGTCTGCCATTTAGATAGGAGCTTCGTGCTCAACTTAGTTATCAATCTTATCATATTTGTTTGACATCTTTGATACAAGTAACGAGTTCACTTCCAAGTGAACAACCCGATAGTCTTCTTCTTATCATAGCATACCAACCAGCGAACACCCAGCCAAGTTTAGTTAGCCAGTTTGAGTATTCGTTACACCCGGACGCGCTACGAGTATCGGGCTAATACTACTAAACTTACTTATAAGTTATTCTAGTACTTGGCGAGTTAAGTTAATTAGTAATTTTAACTTAACTACTCGAATTTAATACGCTGCCTATAATTACAAAAACTCTATCTTATCACATCACTCGTCCTACTACCTACTATATTCTCCATTCATTACTCACTCTCACTCCCTATTCACCTTTATCCTTCACTCTCTATTCTTTTTAATCGATTCATTAATTCAATTCCATCCATCCATCTATCTATCATCTATCTACACCTCTCCTCCCCTCTCCATCCTCCACCCCTCTCCCCTTTCCCACCATATTCCCCCCCCCAAAAAAGAAAAGAGACACCAAAGGTGCCACACACAAACACAAAAAAACACACAAACACAAACAAACACGCAAAAACGCAGAATCCCATCCATGCCATCCAGTGGTATAATATACAAACGTAACAAAACACACACACACACACACTCACTCCTTCCTCCCCAAAAACTATAAGTAAGTGTACTGTCCGCTCTCTGATCACGCAGCTAAAAAATGATATTCCTCCCACCCATTAAACCCCCGACCCCGAGGTTTCGGTTTTAGCAGTTTCTGTTTTCCCTCATTAGGATCCATCCTCTCCTCCAAGTTCCCAGATCGAAGTTACCCTCCAAATCCCCCATTCATCCCACATAATTTCCTCGTTCTGTATTCATCATTTGCCATCCCATCATCTCATCCCATCATCCATCCCATGGTCATTCACCCCTCATCCCTCTCCAATAAGAAGAGAAAAGAACCGAGAAGAAGAAGAAGAAGAAGAAGAAGAAAGGTATTAAGACTCCTCATCCCATACCCCAATTCATACACCTATCATCACCCACCCATGAAAACAACGATAAAAAACGACAATAAAACGCCATTCCCACCCCTGTAATTAAAGAAGAAGAAAGAAAATCATTCCCAGAATATTTTCCTTTTCAATGATGTATTCATCCTCATGCTTTGATTTGATTCCAACCCAACAAAAACACCCGAGAGAGAAAACCCCCCAGACGAAAAAAAAAACTCCTCTATTCCCAAGAGTGTAACCAAAAAATCAAGGAGCAGTCTTCCCCGCACAATCAGGGATTTTCACCCCAGGCTTCAAATTGCGATTAACATCCATCAACCCCCACTGATCCTCCCACTCCTTGCCGGGTTCATTGAACTTGATCTTCCAGGGCTCATCAAAAGCCGAGAACCAAAAGTAGTTCGTTCCATTCGTAAGAGAAGGACAAATCCAACTTTCCATAAACGAGTTGAGTTCCGTGATGCCCGCTACACTGCCGGTGGTACAGGTCGTCGCTTCTCCGCAGTTTTTGCCACCCTTTGTAGGCCATCCCGTCTCGGCAATGTAGTTTTTGGAAATGTCGGGTTTCAGCGGAATGTCTTTGTTTTGCCAGAAAGACCATGTCCAACCAGCTGATTCTTCAGAGGTTTGGCCTGCGAAGAAGGGGTGGATGTTGGCCATTAGGATGTCGACTTTGTCGGCGAAGGCTTGGGTCCAGTTATCTCCTAGATCGGAACTGGCGATTGGCAATTTGATCGAGTTGGCATCCATGTGCTTTCTTACATCGTCAATAACGTTGGTGAGGTTGGCAATTGTCATATCCTTTCGGAAAAGCACTTCGTTACCAACAATGACACCGGCGAAAGATGCCTGTCCATGGGTTTCAAAGATTTTGTATGCCTGTTGCAATTGTCGGGTATTGGTAGTCTCATTCGTGTCGAGCCAAATACCCATCCAGACCTTGGTAGTTCCATTCAATCCCAAACGGTCAATCGCGGTAAGTACCATTTCTGTTTGGTTGCAATCAGTTCCATATAGTCGGATAGTGTTGGAAAGTTGAGAAAGAACAGCGACATCTCGAGTAATGTTGTTTTGAGAAGGGGGATAGTGTACGCAATCCGGATATTGTGTATACATGGGAGTGTAATCGATCCCAGGGAATACTTTGTGAATGTTCTTGTTGTTAAGAAGTTTCTTGATCTCGTCCGAGTTTTTGTCAAGTTCTCCATTTTGGGAAGCATCAGCAGCCGCTGAATCCCCAGAAGGCGTCGAACTATTTGAATTCGACTTTCCTCTGCTGCCCAAAATACCACCAATAACCCCACCGGCAATAGCGCCGAGAACTAATAGGACTGAGAGGAAAATTACGAGAAGACGCAGTTTTTTGCTTCCTGTGGATTGTTTGCTCAACCATTCGCTCTTCTCCTGTTGCTCTCCCAGATTATACTCGTGCGGCCCGTAGGGTCCGTTGACAGGATCGTATTGTGGACCAGTCTTGCTTCCGTTCTTACCCACCATTCCACCTAGTGCGCCCATGATGCCACCAGCGGCCGCGCCGCCTGCCGCCGCCGTTGGTACCGACTTGTCAGATGAATTGTGGCCTAGACTCATCATGGAACTTCGTTCTCGCTGTCTGTATTCTAATCCATCGTCTCCATCATCTTCAATACTGTTGGGGTCAAATTCTGCCAGGTTAGGATCAATGTACTGCGAATAACGATATGGTTGGTCGACATATGGCTCCACGTATGGGGTGGGTGGTGATCTTGATATGATAGATCTTGATTGTGGGGTGGTGATTCCGGGGGGGAATGCGGCCGCTCCCAGCGGTGTTAGTGATGAGGAAGAGTGTTGAGGTGGTGAAGGAGATTGGCCATATGGCGAGGCTGATGGTGGTGCACCGTAATGAGGCATTTGGTTTCCAGGATCGTAGCCAGGTGTGTTTCTCATGACTTCAAGACCACTGTCTCTTGCATTGGCATCCGCGACGGACATGGCAATTCCGGTTAATCCTCCTCCGGCCTGGAGCCCAAAGTTATCGGCGCCTGGTGTCGCGTCTGAATAACCCGAGTTGTTATGTCCTCCTTGTTCCCAGCTTCGTCCGTCGGTGCCGCGATGTGGAGGGGGTATGGGGGGACCTTGAGATGAATATGGATTGCCCTGACCGAAGGAATTGTCGGCGGCGGGGTAGGGTGGATGTTGAGCGTACGGGGGATCGTCGTTGTATGAATATGGTTGATTGCGACTGTCGTAAGAGTCTTCGAAGGAGGAGTTGTACTGAGGTTGAGGCATATTGAGGGAGAGGAATGATCAACGACGGGTCGGAATGTCTATGAATTGATCCGGACCCTTGTCCTGCGCGACACGACTCAAAAACAGGGCTGGGTGAATCTTTCGGAGGGGGCGTCCGTCGTGTGTGGTGCTGTCCACTGTACCGAGTACCAACTTGACCAAGTTCCTCAATCCAACCTGTTTACTTTTCCACTTGATTTTGGCGATAGTGCACGCTACACGAGAGATTAAAGAGGGGCCGCCGAGATGGTGCTGCGTCAGGGTTTTGGGGTGGGAGTGCGTAGTGGAGGGGGGTATCACAGCTCTACTCGACAGGTGTGATGATGATAGATATTCTGGTGAGAGGGTTGTGAGTGCGTGAGTGCGTGAGTGAGACAGTGCGTGAGTGAGACAGTGCGTGAGTAAGAGAGCCCGTCTGATTCAGCATCGGTCGGTCCTTGGTGAGATACGAGGTCTCTTACTCCCACCACCAGCCAGCCCGGTTCTTGAAGGTTTACGTTTACGCTGTGCCCAGTTTCCTCAACCCACTCGGCGTCATTGGCTGCCGCAAATCTACGGGTTGGACGGGGAACTAAGAGATGGCAGGGGAGGGTGAGGGTGAGGGCGAGGAGGGGAGGCTGGTCTGCAGCAAAAGTGTGTCATTGGAGCCCCAGCCAGTTTTTCGCAGATTGGGTGGAGAAGAAATCTCCCGTAATCTCCATCAATTTCTCCGATCCAAAAGATATAATTGATATAATTGATATAATTGATATAATTGATTAAATTGATTAAATTGATTCAACCGTCGAAACGTCCCGTCGCAAATATATTCCTTCAACACCTTTGTTTCAATGTTGCCAGCACAATGAGCGCTTACGGGTACCTCCCTCTACTCAGTGCTGCTCTGCTTTGGCTGCCAGAAAAAAAGGGGGCAGGGCAGTGCAGTGCAGCTAAAGACCGCACAACGCAAGCCCTCAAGCCCTTCCAGCCACCAGAAAGATCATGTCACACCAAATTTAGAAATCCCATACTTTCGTCCGTCCACCTGTCACGGAAAGGAACTGGTAGTCAAGAAGAATTAATCTGCTTTCCCGAAACTCTCTCTACATCTTTTCCCTTTAATCACATCCATGATCAACTCCATCAACCCCAAAGATCTCGCGATTAATTCTCCGTTCCTCCGTCAATGTTCCTACAGTATCTACTTTGCACCTAGCCCCAATTCATGTTCACGAGACCATCATCCGTGACTGGCAATCACGTTGCGTACGGTAGAACCGCACGAATAGCCGATCAAACCGCGAAGTCGAGCAGTCACGGATTGGCCCGTTCAGCAAAGTCAAAACATCGGATTGAACGTCTGTGTTGGTTTGGTGTGCGGTATGCCCTGAAGTTTCGTCTTTCCCCGCAAGTTTCAATCCTCCTACTGGTACCCCGCCATTATATCTATCTGGCATGTATTATCGTTGCATATTCTATTATATAGTTCGTTACTTTCCTATTCTGGTTCACTTTATCTCTACCCCGGTACAGTACTTAGTTTCGACAGTTCCCCGGGTTTTCAGGTGTTTTGTGAACTCGACTACGGATACATCGGTAAATCCAAGTGGACGTATCCGTTGGCGACAAGAACCAAGAATCTCTAAGAGTCTCGGGAGAGGCCGGCTCGTGACACTAGGAAACTGGATTGTCAAGTAACAAACTCTACAAAAACGACTGTATTATTCCACGCAATCATCCAAGTACTTGCTACAAGTTGACTACGCGTCTAGCTACCTAAATACCTAAATCTATTTCTTCGCCGCCCTCACTTCTCTCTAAGTAGCTTATAGAACCCCTTCCTCCCTCTATTCGACCTTCTTTCTCGTTAAACATTGTTACTTCTACATATTATTAGGATTATACTAACTAGCAATTTCTATTAACTTATATAAAACCTATATATATTAAAATAGGTGTATATAATAAAAAAGGCGCTATTAATTCGTTATCTTAAGAGAGGAGCTAGCATACTTATATATTACTCGAAACTTATTAGTTATAGTTCGAGAAAGCTAAAGTATAACATAAGTAGTTTATATTATAATTATAACAAGACAAGACTCAGACGATCTAGGACATTTAGGACAATCAGGAACTTCATAGATGAGATCGCAGGATCAAGCAGTTTTCGGATAGAGTAGAGCGAGAAGCCTCTCGAGACAAATTCAGCAGGCTCCTCGAAGAAGGAAGAAAACAAGTCACCTCGGTACAAGTTTAGCTAGTATAACAAGTCAAAGCTGTAATCTTACAGTTATTAACCCTACCGCAGGACCAAAGTAAAACACCACACCTGGCTCAGACTCTTCTACTCACTTCTCGACACTTCTCTTCTCTTTTTCGAACCAAGTACGAATCACCCCCCCCCACCTTTCTCTTAAGCGAAAACAAGTCGCCTTGTAACTTACATACCAGGTGCGATATCCGGATAGAAGAGCCTTCGGTTTTCACCCTTTGACCGCGCCCCCGGAGGACGTGCTTCGCACGTGTTTAGAAGCTAGTACAAAGCTTGGATATGGAAACGACCTTTTTTTCATTTGTATACTTAGGACAGGATATATTACATTACTTTGGATTCAGTAAGGATGTTAATACTTGGATACCGGTACAGTACATGGAATTAGCACCGGTCTAGATACTCATTTAGATATTAGACTTTTATTTGGATTTTGTATACGGACTTTAATATTTAGACATCGGAATGTACTTCTTATACGCTACCGATTTAGATTGGATTTAGATTTAGATTCGATAGTAAGATTATACTTCTTTACTTCGATTCTCGGATAGATAAGTACTTATTAAGAGTCTTATCTATATACCAAGGGATTAGTAACACTAGGTATCGTCTTTCGATTTTACGACGGTAATTATTATAATATAAGTACTCTTAGCTCTACTATTATTAGAAGACAAATAGAATTTAGTATAGAGTAAAATAAGTGTAAGGAGGGAAGTTAGCTAAGGAGTAAGTAGAGAGTTTTTATAGGATAACCCTAACCGAGTAGAACCCTCTAGAGTACTAGGTATCTACCTAGGTAACCGAGATAAGGTTAGGTAGTAGAGATAGGCAATCTCAGTATAAGAGTCTCCAGGGAGACTCTTACGTCCCTCGTGAGGTCCAGGTCCGCCAAGGCCGCAAAGCCACACTTAGCCACACGGGGAGCCGGCATCGAGAGCCGCCCTGCGCACTTAAGCCTCACCTGCACGTATACGGCTCTTTGCGCCTACGTAGCCGCACCTTTATATGTCGGAACGACATAAAAATAAGACCGATTTGTAGGGTCAATTAAGTGCTGTCCTATCCTCGATTTATATGTCTTTCCGACCGGTGGAAGTGTAGCTACGTAGGCGTAAAGAGCCGTACACTACGTACTAACGAGTTTTAAAATTTTAGTATTCCTACGGCTAACTTATCGCACCTACTTTAACCTACCTTTTCTTTCCTAATATAGTTATATATCAAGGTTTAATATTCTAGACCTTACGAAGGATTCTAGAGTCTCTTTTAGGGATCCGAGGAACGAGGGGAAAATCTATATCGAGATAAGAGTATTATACTAGATTATAAAGATAGGAGTCTCGTCTAGAACTATATTATTGTGACGGAGCTGGATTTCATTTGACAGGATTTCATTCGCTTGGCCAAGCACGTGACGAGACTTGGCATTGGAACAACTTAAATAACTTCGCTCCTTTCAGATTCTCTTCTCTCTTTAGTTTGATTTCTTCGTACCTACGGTTTTAGTTCTAGCAATTGATTCAAAAGCTGTATACACTTTATCCTTTGTTGGCATCCGTGACAATTATAATAACTCTCTAGTACTAGTATATTCTTCAGAAGGCGATAGTCCTATTTAAGATACTTCCAGGCTAATAGATAGCTCTTATATTAGAGCCATATCGCTTTCCCTTAGCTAGCTTCTCTCTTTATTCTACTTTTTATAGTATAATCTAATAGTCTCTTATTCTAATAGTCTATTATTTTAATAGTTTCTTATTTTGTTGTTAATATAAGAGGGGTTTCTTGTCACGAATCACGTGCACACGTGACAAGTGAAGACCAGGCGGCGTCATGACAAGTCAAGCACATCCGTAGACTTATAGCAAATAGGGATCGGTTAGGCTAGCTAAGCGATCCAGGGATTTCCTTTGGTTAACATCACGTGACGAGTTGGGTCGCCTGGAGCGACGAGCGCTCCAGTCGACTGGGTCGACTCGGTAGACGAGCGACTCTGGCGACCCAACAGTTGGAACAGAGGACGATGTCACGAATCACGTGCACACGTGACAAGGGAAGACCAGACGGCGTCATGACAAGCCGAGCACATATGGGCCTGGGAGCTTTATGTGTTCTGGGAAACCAAAGGGAGTTTTCTTATGTAAGCAGGAGCCGTTAATTGGTTGGATAATGTATATGGATGTATACCTTTACCAACATGTTGGTCACGTGATAGTCGACAGAGTTGGTTGTCGACCAACATTCCTTAGTAGTAGTATTCTGAGAACGAAGGTTCTATATAAGACTGGCACGTCTGCCATTCAGATAGGAGCTTCGTGCTCAACTTAGTTATCAATCTTATCATATTAGTTTGACATCTTTGATACAAGTAACGAGTTCACTTCCAAGTGAACAACCCGATAGTCTTCTTCTTATCATAGCATACCAACCAGCGAACACCCAGCCAAGTTTAGTTAGCCAGTTTGAGTAGCCAGTTTGAGTATTCGTTACACACTACTAACCCGGCGTCTAAGAATTAAATAACTAATAACTCAACAATCAACAGTCGAAATAAATTAATTTAAATTCTAATATTATTAGAAAAATGCAAAGTAACAGATCTAAGATTAAATAGTATTTTTAATAGGTGGTTATTATAATACACCTAAATAAGTGGTGGTTCCTTAGTAGGGTTAGTATTCGGCTATACCAAGACCGCTGGCACCCTATCAAAATTGCAACCTACCACCTATATATCGACCTACCTTAATAACAACCTATAGTATCGATTAATGTTGTTTGTTACATGAGTTCGGCTAGTTATTACGAGCATATATTTAAAAAATTAGCCGAAAAGAGTGTGTTGTTGTTTTAATATTAGTTTACTACTATTAATTCGTAAACGCCGGGTTGGTGGTGCGCCGGCATGGCGGTACCAACTCCTCTTGCGGGTGGTAAAAAAATCGAAAAGAAAAAGATTAATCCAAAACTCCTTAATTCTCTGATTGGTCGAAAAGTTATTACGTAAACACAACACAACATAGTTAAGTTATCACTATGAAGACTTAATTATTATATACTCCGAAGCCAACAAGTATACAGAGGAAGGAATATTATATCGATTCTTTCGATTCTGTCGACAATATGCAATTCCGAGATCTCTTCGTATTTGCTACTTTGACGACCACAGTCTTTTGCGCATTTGATCCGAATGTCGGTTACTATATCGCATGGTGTCAAAATGACCAAGGTTACACCGATGATGGTGTAACCACAGCCATTTGCGAAATCCTAAAATCGAGTGGCTGTGGCGATTGCAAAGCCACTCCCTTTGGCGAAAGCCCTGCACGTTGTAAGAGTAATGGGAAAAATATTAATTCAAGGAAGTGGGTTGACACTTGTGTCGCCAACGGTGCAAGAACAGGAGCGGGGAGGTAGTTGGATAAAGGGGTTTTTATCCATTTGACCCCGGAGGAGGAACCGACATTTCAAAGGCGAAGGAAAGACAGGACAATCATGCTTAGGATCCGAAGGACTTCTTAGGAACGAGGACACGCATACACACACACACCCCCCTGTCGCTCGCTTGCGACATATCACTCATTTCGGACGGATACATCACATTGCTTTGGATTTAGTATGGGTATTGATGAATGGACACCGGATTGTGCTCATCAAGGGTCTCTCTCGGACAAGGGTTTGGATTTTGCATTTGGACTTGCATTTGGATATCGCCATGCGCTTATGCAAGAGCCACCGATTTGGATTTGGATTTCACAGCACACTTATTTGATTTGGATTGGATCGGATGAGTACTTATTAAGAGTCTCATTCATTTGTCTATATAGGGATTAGTGACGCTGGGGCATCGTCTTTCGATTTTGTGGCGGTAATTGTTACGACACGAGCACTCTCGGCTCTCGTGTCGTAGCACTCTGTTTCGAGTACTACGTTTATTTACATTCTTAAAAGTAGAAGAATTAATACGGAGTTATAATGTTATTTCTTCTCTTGGTACTAGTAATCTAGTTAGCTAGAGCAATGAAAGGTAAAAGAATGGTTCTAATAGCTTTTGGACGCGGTTTGTACCGAGGATTCTTGCGTAGACCCTCGCCTACTTAGCCTACGGCCTTAATCTATACTTTATAGAACCAGGAAAGGTAGAGACAACAAAAACAATTTGAAGGAACTTGAATATCTAAGGCTTATGCTAAGAAGCGGAATCAGGATATACGTGTAAGTAATTATTTACTCCTCGCTTGCGAGGGAGGCAGGGGCTTTTCTCCTTTGGTATAGGTAGCCTCCTTGGAAAGAGTAGTGGGATCGCTAGCTATCTTCTAAGTAGCGGCTTTAGTAATAACTCTTAGATAAGGGGGAATATTTTAGTTCCATAGATTGGACCAAGGAGAAGATGTAGGGCCAGTAATCTTTCTAATATTAAAAGACCCCGAGACTACTATCAATCGAGAAATTCAATAAATCTGAGAATATAGAATCTACCGGAGGCGGAGAAAGGAATTTAAATTAGGTAGAAGACGATGGTACAATGTGAGAATAAAGTAAGCATAGAGAGAAGTTAGCTAGGAGCGAGCGAAGCGGCTCTAGTACACGGGCTATCTGTCGGCTGGAAGTGTCCGGAATAGGACTAGCGCTTTCTATATAACATGCTAGTGCCAGACAGAGAGGTCGAAAGTCCTCTTGCAGCAACTAAAACATCTATGTTCAACAAGTTCGAAGTATACTTCGATAGCAAGGAGCAATTCAACGAAAAAGGAATCTCTAGTAGTGGCAGCCAATTTGCAAGTTACTATTTCGGTTCCGTTTCTGTTCAAAGGAAACGACGGGAGTCGTGTGTCAATTTTCGGAAGAGTAATACTGTAACGACAGTTTACAGATTTGATAAGTTTCCGAGTGAACTTCAAGAATGTAGACAGAGGAGCATGGACCAACAGGTATATTGTTCGCTACTACTACGCTACCCAACCCACAAGGACAGACCCCGCTGACCTATAAAAGTACATAATGTGCCATTGACTTTTAGGTATGACCATCTTACTTTGCACGGGACCGTCTATTTATAGGTTGTAGGTCGAAGGACACAAGGTAAGGCCTGCCGGCGGCAAATAGTAAAACTTAGAACATGTTCAGAGCATTTTATTATCATCTGTGTCCAACATACCGTGGTTGTTCCCTGGAAGAAACACTTGTAAGAGATCACAAATAAGGGGTGCAATTTGCTTCTACATAAAGTTACTTCATGTGTTCCTGGCTTGAAGTTTCTCCACGTGTGTATGCCATGTACCACTGTATTCCCATGGCTGGCAACTCAAATATCGTCAAAGTCTCGAGAGGATGGTCCAAAGTGTAGCCGGGGGGCTATTGGGGGGACTTTCGGCCTTGGCAACACCAAAATCCCCTCGGAGCGCCCTTGCTATTCCTTTCTAAGCGGCTTAGTAGGCACGTCAGTACTCGAAGTACACTCAAAAGGGGAGTAAAAATGGATTTTAAAGAGATTTAGTACTAAGTCGGACCCCTTTTACACTTTGGACCATCCTGTCGAGTTTTGACGGTACAAGCTCGCGAAGAAAGTTACACGAAAGTAAACGCGAAAATGAAGGACAAGATAAGAAAAGGTAACCAGGTAACCCCAAAGATTTGCGTGAAGTGATGCCCATGATGAGGTTGATGTCACGCTGAGGCTCGGGGAGATTCTTATCTTCGTCTTCTTACGGTAAGAAGAGGTAGATGGATTAGCGACGATCGCGAAGATCCTCATTCGCCGCACACTGCACACACCGAGAGTGGGATGTGCAAGGGAAGCGGCGCATTCTTTACTAATTCGCGATGAAATCAAGTTGTTGTTTTTTTTTTGTAAAAGTATTCCAATTTGCAAAATTTGCAGAGTTTTCATGGCTTACTGAGATTTGCAGTATGTAAACCCTCCATATCTTTGTGTTCCAGAAAGCCTTCTGTAGTTACACCACAGATCTCATGTGGACGCGGCCTCTCTGTACAGTAAGGCGTCGAGCATAGCATATCAAGAAATTAGTGGTACCTGACCCGCAGTAGATAAAGAACAACTGCCGACTTGGCGTGGATTCGTAGTGGATAGATTGTCTTGACCATGGTTCCCTCATCTTGAGCATGTTGTTTTCCATGGCATGACCAAAAACATTCCATGGGAAAATCAGGTTTAGATGGGGGGTTCGCATGAGAAGATTGGAATCATATCATGAGAAGCTGTCGATGCTGGCCTCCATTCTTTACCAGATACATCCCAGTTTGAGGAACATATCTGACGGAAGCAGGATGGCCATAGACAGCTCACAAATGACACTCCGTGTCGCACCCTATAAGGAGTATGCGAAACATAGGGAAGCATCGGAATCAAAACAAATGTTTTCCATAAACGTGAATCCTAATGTTGGAGAAGTGGGGACGCTGCAAGAGGGAGAAAGTGATAGACAGGACCCGGAGGATTGTTCCCGGCCATCCCTGGGACGATCGCCCAGACCTCCCTCCATGTGTACTGTACAGTAAGATTACCGCTGATTTCAGTCCACCGTTTAGTAATAGTAGAACCACAACAACGTATTCAAAGATTATAAGCGTTGCTAGCAAGGTCAGTTAGCTTCTGAAGAGTTTGCTGGAATTTGTTTCGTAGCTTTACAATTTTCTTCGTCTCGTTTTAACGCCAATGCAAAAGTAGGTCTCTTATACTGAAATCGGCGTATGAATACGTATGCGAGGAGGCTTGGAGCAACAAGGCGAAATCGTTAAATTCACTGACCACTCAGCAGCCCTCCTCGTTAGCCACGTTCAACTTTATATATAGATACACTTACGCCTACTGCACATCAAAAACTCAATCCAACTTACAAACTTTTCATCTCCGTGGGCCGTGGCATACTATTGAACTAATGGCGCTAATGTTGTAAACGAGTCGTAGTCAGTCGTAACTCCCCGAGCTGAATTTCTAGCCACTTCGTTGCAGCACAGCTCACTCACTCAGCCCGGCCGCTTTTCCCAACCTCTCCTTTCGAAAGATTGTGAAATACTTTTTGGGCGCCATCATGGCCTAAAAGGCACGGGATATCCGGGTCTTTTGGATGGTACCCTTGAAACAGGACGGACCAAAAGCGACGATAGGAAAGTGATCGTACGGAGGGTAGCATTTACCCCTGATGACTACGTCCACAGTTAGGGAAGGATGAATGAGGATTTCGAGATGCGACGCAGAAGTTTCAACCGCCCAAAATCCGACCCAAAGCCCCCTTGTCCAGGCATACCTTGTCGCCAAATACCATTGCTATCGTGATTAATATCAATGAACCCGGTCGAAACCTGCATACCACCCACCATTATCACAATCGTATCCGCTCCTGACCCCCTTCCCCGCCTCCACCCCCGGCCAGCAACACGTCTCTTCACGACACGACAGACAATCAAAGCGGCATTTCGAAGACATCAACATATGTTAGGTGCGGAGATGGCTTAGCAAAGCTGATGGTAGGCTGAGTCGAGATCAGATGTGTTGATGTTGGTCTATGTAACTAACCTCCTGCTCATACGACGACCTCATCAGTCCAACCCAACTCGCCTCGAGTATCCATTCTCATCTTCTCCCCCTTTCAAGTTGCCTCTGGCGACAAACCTTTCCTTCCATGAAACATATCTTACCCTGCATGTTAGTACCTCCCCGCTTATCTACAGCCCACTCGCTCTTTTGTCTTTCGTGCATGCATGTGTATCCACTAGTCCACACTAGTACGGGAGTGCGGAGAGTACAGAGTTTCTAGGAAGGTGGACCTAAATTCGTTCTATCGCCCTCCAACCATCGTCCACTGGGAGAAGTGGATGTTTCAGGCAGATCGACATTCTTGGTCAACCTGCCACCAGACTAATCTTTTTCAATTGAGCCATTCCATTGGTCTTAACAGTCTCAATTTGACACAAATGACTACATGAAAACAGCCGCTGATGTGCACACCCTATTTCAGGGGTGGGTGTACCGACTACACTACGCTTCGGCCTCGCTCGGTACAGACCTTCTGCATATGTACGAACAAGCGTCAATGAACTACCCAGCATGAATAGCAGAAGGATGGGGCAACGCATATTGTGCCGCGATGTGGACTAAAACGGGTAGTCCGTAGTTGGACCAACCAGCCTACTTAAGCTCTCCTGCCTCCAATCCTTTTGTCCATTAGTCTGTTTTCCCAAAGTACTTAACATTTGTCCTACCCTCGCTCCAGTTTAACTTTCGCTTCAAGCATCTCGAATTCATTTCAACGTCTTCCTTCTTCTTCTCATTTACTTAATTGCAAGTTTCACTCGCTATCAAACATGCATAACACTTTTGCTCTCGCAGCTCTGGCAAGTGTTGCCTATGCTCTTCCCCAGGGGGTAACCGAGACTATCGCTCCTCAAGCCGCTGCTCCAGGAGGTTGCTCACCATCACTATCTGGAAAATTCCAACTCGAAGCTGTCAACTTCACAGCAACTGCAAAGGTCAAGGTACGTGGTCGCTCCGAAAAAAGAATGATAGATTTACGTACTAACCTTTCATAGCGTGACTCATGTGGTGCTGAAGGTGTCTTGACGGTCGACCTCAAGGATGGAAAGCTCACCGATTCAAAGCAGCGAACTGGTTATATTGCATCAAACTACCAATTCCAGTTCGACGCTCCACCTCAGACCGGTACCATTTACTCTGGTGGTTTCTCTGCTTGCAGCAACGGCTCATTAGCACTTGGTGGATCCTCAGTCTTCTATCAATGCTATAGTGGTGGATTCTACAACTTGTACGATCGATCATGGGCCGCTCAATGCAACCCTATCCTCCTCCAAATCTTCCCTTGTGGAGCTGCTCCAGCTGTTGGACAAGCTGGTGATGGACAGCCACAGGCAACCGCAACCGCAGCTGTCGCTCCAGTCTCCCAGATTCCAGATGGACAACCACAGGCAACCACTGCTCTTCCAAACCCAGCTGCTCCTATTTCCCAAATCGGTGATGGACAAGTTCAAGCCACACCAGCTGCTCCTATCTCTCAGATTGGTGACGGTCAAATCCAGGCACCAACAGTTGTTCCCAAGCCACTTGTTCCAATTTCCCAAATTGGTGATGGGCAACCTCAGGTTCCAACTGCTGCTCCTGCTCCTGCTCCTGCTCCTACACCAAGTGCACCTATCTCACAAATCCCTGACGGACAAGTTCAAGCTACCCCAGCAGCATCGCCATCTGCCCCCATTTCTCAAATTCCAGATGGTCAAGTCCAGGCAGGCAATGGCTCCGCTCCAGCAGCTCCTAGCAGTGCCCCTTCACCTCCTATTGTAGCACCTGTCAGCGGCGCTTCCAAGGTCTTTGGAAGCCAAGTTGCCGCCGTGGCAATCGGTATCTTCGCCGTCGCATTCTTGTAAATCACGCATTCAGCATATTGACGGCCGCATATTCTTCAACATTTTCTTCTGTTTGGAAAAACAAATAATAGGGTGATCATATTCCCGACGAATCACCTGGACATTTTTCTTTTCGATTACTTTTCGATTGGGCGATGGACATAATTCGCGTTAATGAATGGTTATGGATGGATTAGGGTGGGGGACCGGGCGACCATTTTGCTTTCAAAAGTTACGATGTCATGCATGGAACAAACATGTAACTTACTTTTTTGCTTTCGCGCAGAGGACTAATAGTCGGGCATTGCATTGTTTGGGGTCGGATTGATTGCTTTCATCATTGCATAATTATCATATCCGGGTTGGATTGGGGTGTTATCACACTGCATTTTGCGTGTGGAGACAGGCAGGCAATGGGATTGTATAATAATAACATAATAACTCTTCAAATTGCAAATAAAATTAATGTCAAATACTAATTTATCTTTCATCATTGCATTGTGAAGATCTAGATTTTGTCTCTCGGCATTCTTAAAGCGCTCATACTATGAAGTTTGTATTTAGCCTGATATCGTCGTGTTACCAACACTCCCTTGCTGCAAGTACTTTATATCCTAAATTACCTTCCTGCTTTTCGAAACAGTGCAGGATTAAGCCGCTGGGTATCCTCCGTTCCACGAATCAATATAAATATCACAACAGACCGTGGTTCTGGGCCAAGGGGCTTATTTTGTTGGTTTGGTGGCTTGGACTGTGCATACGCCCTTATGTTGAAGACATGGAGTCGATCTTTTCCTATGTCAGATGCATAGGATCCGGGTCTAAGTATAGCCCTGACAAAAGTTTCAAGCTGTCTTTCACTGTATTCTGGAGATGATCTTGCAAGGCTCATACCATTTCCAACTTAAGACTCGATAGCTTGTTCCTATTCCGTTCTGCTAGAATGGCAAGTACATTTCAGTCATATCTCATCTTCAACATCAAACATCCCAAGATCTTTCCAGACCCATCACCAGAAAACCTATTACCAAGTCGTTGGATCTGGCAAATCCTTCGGCGTGTTAACCCTCTTGGTATCTTGAATCAAATGTTCAAAACTACTACTCCATCCCACCCTCTCCGTCAAATCATCCAGTCCCCAAAGCTCATTCACAGTCTTCAAGAGACTGGTATGACTATACAAACCCCCATTGTTCCTGCCCTTCGTCTCTATTACTCCCCCTTTGACCCAAGGACTAATCACCAATGTCGGGACCCTAACACCCAAGCGAGTAAAGTCGAAGGTGTAATTTTGTCCATCAGGTGCCTTTTCGGTGTACGTGATATCATCACCGGCAGGCACATTTATCGGAGGCGCTACATGATCTCCAAAACCACCGTGTTCATCGAAGGTTAGCACGAAGAGGGTTGAATCCCATTGTGGGGAGGCACGCAGAGCTTCATAGATATCTTTTGTGAAGAGTTCACCCATGGATATCGGACTGGGTGGGTGATAAGATTGGTAAGAACAGCACTCTGGATTGATCCATGTGAACTGGGGTAAATCCCCATTCTTCGCGTCCTCGTAAAACTTCGTGAGAGGAGCTATGTTGGTATCCTTCGTTCCGCTCGTGTTTGTCCAAGTGTAAAACGCCGCGTCAGGGTTGAATCCTTGTCCGGGGCCGAGTGTACTGTTCTGGTAGTTCATCCAAGATATCCCTTTCTCGCTTAATTGTTCGAAGATGCTCTTCTGGGGGAGACCGTAAATATCAAAGGCTTGGTCGTTCGAGCCGTGACCAGCTGAGGTTCCAGAGGTCAAGTAAGCACGGTTCGGATTCGTTGGGCCCGGGACGGAGGCGAACCATCGGTCGAAGAGGACATAGTTCTCGGCTAGAGAGGCGAAGACGGGGATTTGGCTGGGGAGGTGGTAGTTTATTGCTTCGGCTGCCCGGGTCTTGTTTAGGGTTTTGAAGGAGATTGATTGTTCGGTTACGAAGCCACGCATGTTTGGTTTGGAGGCGGAGTCGGGATGCCATGTACTGTAGACTTGTTGTGTGTTAGTTGGTCTCTTATGTTGGAGGGATACAGTTGGTGTACCTTGCATGTTTATACCCGCGATACTGTGGTTTGGATCATCGGGTGCGACATCATTTGCTCGAGGACTAGCACAAACATCATCGTGTTGCGCCGGATCTGAGGAATTCCTATCAAAGGAATGATATAAGTATCCTGTATCAAGATATCTGATCGAGGGAAAAAGCTCACATAGAATTACAATAATTATGCCTCACCAACCCATCCATCTTCGCATAATCCAATCCCCCAGCAAACGTATCGAAACTCCTATTCTCCTGCACCAATACGACGACATTATTAATCTTATTCTTCCACGATCCGGAATGACTCTGTATATTCTGCGGCACGGCAAACACCAACCCAAAAAGGGCTGATGAAACAACGGCGGAATTAAAACCAACCATTTTTACTCCGTATATGATTGAGAAGGAGGAGGAATGGGTTTGGTTAGGAAATGAAACGAAACGAGAGGCAGCCGAGGCTGCGGAATACATACGCAGAATATATATCCCCTCGCACTCAACGCGGTAGAACGACACCTAACCATTTACGAAGATACATGAATACACGTGTGTGTGGTGATAGGCCGAGACATTCTGCACCTCCTGGTGTATTTTGCAGCACTCCAGATACAAAGCGGGGAGAGGTACTGTACACCATAAAATCGGAGTTCATTCGATATTGAAAACGGTGCAGATGCAGTAGGTAAAGATGGCGAAGATGGACCCTGCGAACAGGGATAAACATAGTGGTTGAGAAATGCGACCTTCCGTTTTTCGACAGGACATCTGCACATGGACGAGGTGTATTGTTCCAACTGGTTGATTGAATATGGGTCTATGTACTACTAACTACAAAGTTGCAGAATGTCCAACTGATCAGTAAAAGTTTGTTTGTGATTCGGGCGAAACATATCGTGTAATTGAGACACATTAGGGATTTAGCAGTATCAAATACAAATATTGAGGGAGATTAGAAGATTGTAAGAGTTGTTGAAAGAAGCTTTTGAGTCCAGGTTATGGAAGTGCTTAAAGAGTTGATAAAGAAGCGGAGAACTTGGATGATCTGCAGGACGACTCCGCGAGTTCGTCCATTTGTGAGACGACCTCGCAGCACGTGTTTGTGCGACTTCGACATGGGGACTGTTGAGTTATGATATTTGAACGCCTGGGTTGCTCAACGAATACATAAAGGCGGGCTTGTATGAAAAAGACAACTTATATAGTGGAGTTTTAGGAGAAGTCAAAACTGTTGTAAACCAGCGGGATAGCCTAATATTTGGAAAATAGAATCAAAGCTTTTTCCTTTTCGGAATTCCTAAATGAAGGTTTGGGATATCAACGTCGCTAATGTGAATGAAATGATCGTATATCATTCTTTAAACCTGGAGAACCTTTAGAAGGCTTGTTGAAGATTTACCTCTATGTGTTGTTAGCTTTTACGGTATGTATCCTCATCTTCGCGTATCTCCTGTACGTCGGAATTCGCCACCAAGGGACATCGACACCTTGTCTCACGTTCAAAGGATACGAGATACACCCTGTTAACAACAATATTGGTTTATATGGACCGTTAACCATTACGAAGATCTACATATAATTCTATTGTTTTAAAATATTTAAAACAAAAAGATTCATGAAACAAACTTTAGTAAACTTTTGTTTAGTATTCTTCTAATAGACTCTAATTTAATTCATTATGCCAGGGAAATTAAATAAATTAGGAGAGTATAATTACTTGGGCAACAATGTCCCTTACAAATTTTAAAGCGAAAAAGAAATAAAAAGAATCGAACGTTAGGTAGTTGAATTTCAAGTAAACATGGCGTAATTTGATGTATACAGGCTAGATCGTATATTATACTTACGATTCTCATTAAAACACTGCCCACGTACTCATTACTAAAGCTAACTTCCTCTTACAAGTAAACCACTAAGCCCCCAAAAGCCAAAGACACCACCAACAAACTCCTAGCCATCCAAGACGTTCCCCCAAAGTTACGCGAAGCCCCACTACTTGCACTCTGACCAGATCCAACGCTCGAGATTACTGATCCCGACGATGTACTTCCCGCGCTTGGTATCGAGGTAACAGAAACAGTCGATTTGATATTTCCAGGATCACTGACTGCTGTAGAAACCGCAGATGCAGTTATAACTGATGATCCCAAGGAAGGCGATGGGAAAATAGTGCTCGGTGGAGTAGGCGCAAGGACGGCCGCGGATGGAGTAGGGGTTGAAAAGCCGGCCGTGAGTACTGAGTAGCTTTCTCGCGCTCGAGAAGGGTTTGCCTCGTTGATTGTGTAGATTGATGAGGTGGTAACTGTGATGTATTTTGAGATTGTTAGGGTTCTTGTTGTGGTTACTGAGTATGTCCAGTACCAAGACCAGTAATACCTAGAAGTTGTTAGAAGATAAATGGGATAACGATTATAATTGGCCTACCATGTAAAAGTATAGAAGGAGTCTCTATAGATGATAGTTTCGGATGGAGGTAGAGACGTTCTTGTGATAGAAATACTCGTGGGCGTAACCTGTACGCTTGGAATCTCCACGATCGTAGGTGAAGATAGTACCACTGTCCCAGAACCAACATTCCCCCCCCCCTCCACGAGTCGAAGTAACCCCGTCAGCAACATAGGCAGTAGATTTTGAATCGGTACAGCAGACATGATTCCCTCGAAACACATAGCAGTGATTTCCTTTGGGACAATAGTTCCCCGTCGTACAGCATTCTCCGCCCTCAGGAGAGCAATTATTTAATCCACAACAATTCCAACCTGAAGGACAGACTCCTCGTGTACACAGCATTTCCCGCCTTTTTCTGCACAGTGAAGAGAGGAAGGGCAACATTCTTTTCTGGGCTGGCAACATACGAGTGAGCAGCAGGTGTCCCCTGTACGACAACATTTGTTGCCGGCTTATCAAAGTTAGAAAAACAATGCGTAACTGGCGGGAGGAAATACTGACTTGGGCAAGGTGAGTCGCCAGCAATTGCGCAAGCTTGACGTCTTCCAAACCATGAATCTATCAGTGATCTTCCATCAAGAGGCATCGATCCAATATTCCTATTTTCGTCCTGCTGCATAACGAAGAGGCCTTGTTGTGGGAGTAAGTCATCTCTTGGTTCAAGCTCCAATTCGTGGGCTACGTTGTTATCGAACCCACTTGATACATGAGTAAAGATAAAGATCGAGAAGCAAAGAACAAGTGCGCCAAAGTATCCCGAGAGAAAACTCATTGTGTCTGTAAAATGCTTTTGGCGTAAACAGAACTGGCAAAGAGGCTTTCCAGATTATGACAGAGATAGAAATCAGGGATATGACCAGATATTTATCTACCAAGACTTTCTGAAGGCAGCTGAACAGCTCTTGCATGTTTCAAGCATTGGGGTCCACTGCGATGGAAAATACCCAGCAGATAATACTTGTAAGCCTCTACTTCTCGATTAATACAGATGCTAATAGCACTTCGCAAGCAGGTTATAAATGCAACTGAGAATTCTTATTGATTATTGCAACATAATTGTAATAACAATGCGATCTGTTTGTGCTATACTTTATAGCAATCATTCTTCTCCAGGAAACAGCAATCAAGACGCCAAAACGAGAACATCTCTACATAATTCGGTACCAAAAACATTGTCAACTTGGCATCTCTTGGGTGAACCGTAGGCGCAGTATATTAATAACACAAGTAACAGAAAAAGCAAATAGAAGAACAAGTTACAAATGGCCACGCGTAGCGAAAACGTTGACAGCGTCCCGTTATGCAATCCCAATCTCAGCCGTTCATCTTGGCGAATCCTTCAGTACGGTATCTCTTGATAACCCCCTCGCAAGTTGCTTTGGCGCTCTTAGTTCTTACTATCACATAGCCAATGTTCAGCCTCAGATTTGAAGTGGCGTTGAAGTTGGATTTCCATTGGTGAACGGCCTGGTAAGAGACAAGGACCATTCGCTGCAATTTCCATCCGGTTTTTTATCACCTGGCTGTTGGTATTCTGCACCATCCCCGAGGCGTACTACTTATTGGCATTGTGATCGATATTAGAGTGGCAGTAACTGGTCGGACGACCCATAAGAGGCTGATGCTAGGTAAGCGTATATCTTGAATTGGTGGGTCCGGTAACGAGAGTGTGGAATGGACGAATGAGTGCTTCATATACACTGTACACACTGAATTTCCATTAATTGAGTAGTTTACTGATCGTTATAAACTTGATATTGACATTGTAATGGTGTGGTGAGGCCGTAATGTTTTGTACAGATAAGAGAGAAGGATCGAAAATGTGCTGATCGCGTCAGTATTCAATACCGGAGTTACCCGTCGGGTCATAAGGTATATTACGCTTCTCAGAAAAGAATATTTGGTTTAATTATGATTTTCTTTAGGTAGCTCAAGATAGCATGTTGGTCTTTATCTGGGAGACTTGGAATGAATGAATAAGAAGATCTAATCTAATTATCAATCATTTGAAGTTTTCTTCCTCAGTTGCAGTGGCAATGATCTTACATCAAAATCGCAATCTCAACGGAGAATATTGGGCAATTTCTTTTTTTTCAACCTCTGGAGCTCCTAGTACCAATATTGATCTCACCCTACAAATATTTAAAAACAAGAGATCTTTTATTCCACGTAGTCCGAGGAATTCAAAGTGTGTATCTCCCGTCGGCGGGTTAGGGGTTCGGGTTAGGGCTAGGGGTCAGGGTTAGTTGAATATGAACCCCCACCACCTACGCTATTAGGATCTCACTGCTCCCCTAGGGTTGGTTAGGGTTAGGCACCTCGTCTCGCTGCTACAGGCCACGCCGTCGCCTCGGCGGCTTGGCCCCGGTTAGGGTTAGCATGACTTCAGTAAGCGAGGTAGCAAGTATGTTTTTCATTTTACATGCTTACTTCCTTAACATTTCTACCTTTAATAGTTTGTAGGTTGGCTTTACAACACCAAGAATTCTGTTAGCGATGGAAAAGTGGGGAGTATTAAGTGATAAGTAAGTCATAAAGTGCAACTTCATCTTTAAGGACAAAGGTTTCTGGTTCTTCCAGGTGCGAGAGGTACAGGTAAAACTTGTACCCCACAGTGAAAGTAGAAGTGTCTACTTCTGGGTCTTATTGAAGCTGAGAAGTGGCCTGAATGGTTAAACGACTTCATTGTATAGGGAAGCTGTTACAAAAGTATATAATTTTACTCCACCTTAGAGTGCACGTTTTACCTGTACCTCTTACCTCTGGAAGGGATACCAATTCGTAAACCCGAAGGAATGATATAAACACCGTTCCAGAGGAAACATACTGTACATTTTACAAAGGGTCATATCATGATCACACACTCAACATAACAAGATTGGGTAAAATAGATGGCTTATAGTAAAATGTTTCTGCTTTATAATACCCAGGCGATCTCCCTAAAGAAGAACCACGATCATCTATGACTATACACTGTCTATGCGCCCTTTGGTTTGTTGGCGCCGCCAGATGAGTTTGGGGCGTTTTGCGCCTTGCACGCTTCGAGAAACTATTTTAATTCGCTATTAGCTTCTTCTCTGATCTGTGTTAATCTGAGAATATCTCACCTTTGCACTATCAATTTTGCTTGTGGGACTTTGGCAATACGGACCAGTCTTCTCTCCGCTGGTAGTTAGTTCGGGCAATATGAGCTCACAATCGGCGCATGTAGCCTTGAACGCATTGCATGCATTGATAGTCGCTGTGTCAAACATGGTACCCTATATAAGTTGTTAGATGCTTTTATCTAAAAGTTTTCATAGCTGAAAGGATTGTGGTAGTACAGACGCATGAGGTACACTCTGGAGGCTTGCGGCCCCAGGTCTACTTCTGTATTTGTAGCTCCATACTACATAATGTGTGAACTGGAGCGAAATGAAGACTTACAGTTGCGCTTATACACCATGCATATTTGTAGTAAATAGGGGCTTGGGCAGACACAGCAGTTGCCAAAGCAATGACGCTAACAATATTTCGTATTTGCATTTTGTTGGTTAAGAAAATGTTGAAATATGTCAGTTGAGTTTTTGGAACAAAGCTTTAGATCAGAGACCTTACTCGAGGAAAAAAAGTGGGAAAGGTAGATAGATATATATGCTCTCCAGACCAAGAAACAGGCTTGGCGATTAGCTCATACCAGTCGGAACAAATAGAACTACCGGTATATATAAACGTTTGTGGTTCGGTACTTCCCACCTTTATACTATTGCATTTAAAGGGGGTGGACAGTCGATGCTAGAGCATCCCGCGGCCTTTTGCACCCAGTGGACCAATCAAACCCAGCAAAATACCGAATTCCATCCTACCTAAGCCAGGGCAACGTTTTGAATCTTCTGAAACTTTGCATGATAGGTACCTAATTATAGTTTCGTAAGGGTGTGTTTCGGAGCTGACATGAGGTACAAAAGTTTAACTTCCCAGAGTTCGGTTAGCTAGCATTTGGGTGTCCTTTGGATGGATTGCCTTGCATGATTTCATCTCAGGACTCAGCCACTCAATTTAATTCGGAGCATATTGTTCGTACTCTGCAGTGAAATGCACGTCAATCCACGGAAATCCATACAGTAGATAGTTATCAAAAGTCCAAACTCTTAGGATTCGATTAGCTCTCTTTCGAGAACGTTCTAGATGGATTTGGTTGCGTTTAATCATCATATCCGCAATAGAAGCGCACTCCGAAGCAAAATGTTAACAAACTCTGTTTACGAGCCTTGTAGTAAAAACCCAAGTCACCGATGAAACTCATCCCATAGACGGCTAGCAAAGATCATATTCTTTTGTCTACGTTCAGAGCATACCAAGCAGCGACTGTGTTCCTAAAACATATCTTGGTGTCCAGCACTGATGCGACAGATGATCATTGCGGTGGAGCAGGTAATTTACGGTGAGTTGGCTGAAGAAGCAGCTGCCGATAGCTTTGGGTTATGCTTAATTTTCTAAAGACAATTGAGGTCAACATCGACCACTTCCCGATCACTGCCAAAATCTACAAGCACAGTCCAACAGTGATATTCTTCGATGCTCCTCTCTTGCTTAATATATGAAGGTCCCATGTCCCTTGAACTCATCCGCCAAATAGTTTAAACAGCCCCCTCACTTAATTAGTAAGAAACTTATGTATTTTTGTACATTTGTATGCGCTTCAGCGATTCTTTTTATTCCTATTGTTACATGGCTTAGTACATTACATTTCAGCTTTATGCTTTAATGATATAGCCTTAGGGTTAGGGTTAGACAACATAAAAGTGGCGTACTGCTATGTGGTACTCTATGCAGACTATGCTGATCAAAAAGTGCCACAAACTGCATAAAAAACTTGTTTCTTACTAAGTAAATGAAGGGGTTATAGCTATAGATAACATAAAACGGATGACCAGCTCCCCATAAATAACCAGCACAATCCCATAAAGAAAGTGCCGGAAAGTAGCGAATAGAGTTCAGGTATCAGTGAAGGCTCGTCAATCAGACAAGAAAGAAATGCTTGACACCGAGTACGACCACTCGGAAAGTTTACGTCAGCTATCCTGCAATGTCTTGCGATTCACAACATACTCAAAATATCGCAGGATCATCTATCGACAATGATATATTTGATGACTCTTATTCTAATAACTCGAAAAACATAAGGCAACTATTTTGTCACGTTTCTATTTCCTTTCGGCCTCGAGTTACCATTTATAATTAACACTGAGTGAAGTATGGTCGATCTTTTGCTTGATAAGATGAATCGGAAACAATAATTTCCTGATTTCGTTGAATCCCGATACAGTATCAATAGGCAATTTCCCTGCTAAGTCCGAATGTCTTAGTACGCGAGGGGGCGAGAGGACAATACCATTTATACCAACTCTACTCAGCGTTTGCGGATGCCATGAATTATCCGAGGGAATGCATAGATTATTTTTTTGAATGAAGCTTTTCCAGAGTAGATATACCAGCAAGTATTAACGTACGATCTCAGCTACCTTAGATAGAAAACCGGAACTACGAGCGGAAGGGTATTTCTAGCTGTAAGTAAGCAAATCTAGATTGTGGAGTGTTCTTTGGGACAGGGTAGCGTTGTAACACTTTAACAGCATGATAGGTCTGTTAGTATGAGGTCTGTTAGTATATGTTTACTTGGTACCATAAGTTTCGAACTCTCTCCTCGAGTTTAGTTTAACTTTTTAATTACCTAGAATAAATATACAAATATCACTTCCACGTTTTATGACCACGAAAGTAAGACGTTAAGTTGCTTCAACAAGTAACCACAGGCTGGCTTTTTATAGCCCAAGGCCTGGGTTACGGCTACTGTGTTAAGTTATAAAGAGATCACATTTCCATTACTTCCCTTGAATAATCGTTACTCTACAACAGTCACCTCTTACGTTTACTCATTTACAAGCCCACAAGACCAAACCAGAAAGTATCTGTTGGAAATAGTGAATAGAGAAGATATTCACAATATGGTCAGCCAGATTCCAACTAGCTATTGCTCCACTCGAAGCCGACTAGCGTGGTACACTCCTCTCCTAGGTATAAATAGTCAAGTCGCTTAGCACTTACTAAATTGAAGAGTCTTCCGCTTAGAATTCCTGACAACAGGGTCTCAACGCAAGTAGCCTAGTAGGGAGAGGTCCAAAGACCCAGAGTGTTAACAATACGGATACCAGCGAATATCTAACATTGAAAGAACTACTAATAGCAGTAAGTAAAATAGTGGTTACTTTATCAGGATATAAGATGGCTTTTGACCATACCACAGAGCTTACTTTCGTCAAAGTCGTTAAGTCAAGGACAATCCTCTCCACAAAAGAAAGATAAGCAAAGGCCCTTTTACCAAAAGTATACCAACACAGATAGGTAAGCGTTTTGGTATAGAGCATCAGTCCCTCTATCCACTAAGCTTGCCCATCCCAAAGGGCCCACCACACTAGCATACCAGACCCTAAACCACCATCTAAGTCCCAATCTAAGCATTCCCCATCACTATAAAAATACTCAAACTACCACGACGATCCCTGCCATCCCTTGGATCACATGCCCTCATCATACAGAAAGAGGCGAAACAAGAAAAAGATGCAGCGCACCTTGCAAATTAAAGACAACAAAGGACCCTATAGAACTTACTTAAGTTTTGAGCATGTTACTACACTATAGTAATATACAGCACTGTAATCTTCCAGGTGTTTGACCTATACATTTGACTTTCCCCAAAGGGGCATTTGATAATTAAAATTTATAAAATCAGCTAGCGATCCCTGGTTTTTACTCTCGGTACAAAGCCTATATAATACGAGTCCAGCCCGCTAAGCCGTCTCGAATTTACCAGAAACCCATCGTCCGTCCGATCATCCAAGCCTACTCTCTCCTCGCAAAACTTAAAAAACCAAGAACTCACACTACCGTCACCCACAACCTTAACCACCCGCCAAGTCATCCACCACACCACCCAACCAAAATGCACCTCACACCCTTCCCACTCCTTCTCTCCCTCCTCCTCCTAGCCCCTACACATGCCGCAAACCCACCATGGCAAATGTACTGCGAATACGACGGCTACAACCTCCCCGAGGGAGCCACCGCACCCTGCGACAACGGCCACTACGTCTTCTGCTGCTCACCCACACAGTCCACCTGGACGAAGGGGCCATGGCAAGTCGGAAGAGTATGTATGCAAGTAGTGAATAAGAACGAGGAGCAGTTTTCGTGCGTTGCGAGGTTGTCGGCGAAGGGGGAGAAGGTGGGGCCGGGGGTGCAGGGTGATGGGGGATTGGTTAGTTGTTGTTGAGCTATCTAGGTACAGTAAATGTAGTTGGAGTGTATTTTAGATTTTAGGGGAGGATTGGATGGGTGGTTATATTGTTTGTTTATTTATTTTTGTGGCTGTGGATTGGATTTTTCGCGTATGGTTTACATAGGGAAAGGGTGGCCTGGTCCTTTGGTATATCTAGATTAATGGTTAGGTGTAGAGCTTGGGAACATTAGATATCAAATTTAATCAATCGTATTACTTACCCACCTACTATATCTGAAATGATTCTAAAATTATAACTCAAACTCATAACTAACCTAGTAACCGGGGAGTGAGGTATTGCTACTATCGCTAGATCTCAAACGGCATAAGATGAATCTGAGAGGCGAGCGCTACAACGCTTTAGTACTAAAAACAAAGGACGAAATAAGAGAGTAAGCGTACTTAGCTTAGCGTATTTCTATATATAGATATAGGGTCTACCATACAAATTTAGAGTTCTACGCTCGATACGAGTAAGAACATATAGAGTCTATAAACGTTTACCTTAAAATCGTGTAAAAAGGAAGTACTACTTGAAAAATAATAATTTAGCCTTATTTAAAATATCCTATATAAGAAGAAAATACCGCTTTTTCCTACCTATATCTTTATACCTAAATCTATAACTCGCTTATTCAAACTAACGTAAATACAACTACTTTGTTTACTTTATTTATTACCTAGGTAATTTATCTACTCTCTCTCTCTCTCTATATATATATATATTATACGTTCTATTCCTTAGAGGCATTATACGCGAGATAAAAGAATGAATCTAGCTCTACCTAGTAATATCACATTTACTACGTCTAAGCAAAACCATAGAGAATTCCATCTACACGACATTTGAGTAGATTATAATTCCAAGTTGTATTCAATAAGCGAATGGAGTTTTTATAAGTTTTGTGATTCCCGGGGTACGCTTCTGAAAATCGTGATTCTACTAAATCTGCGCTAAACAGGTCGTTATGAACAAAGGAAGAAGAAGCAAACCTTCACCTCCGCTTACTCCAAAACAACCCAGACAACAGTATTTTTATATACACGGACGCTTCCTCTACAACAACTGAAAATAGCCGAGGAATTGGCGTAGGCCTGTCTGTAGTTTCCCCTCAATCAAGCACAATCCACTATGAAAAGAAAGTCAATATTGGCCCAAACAAGCTCGTCTACAACGGAGAAGTTGAAGGAGCCACGCTAGCAATCGAATATGCCGCCAAGCACGCGAGACCAGGACTGCACTTCCACATTTACTCAGACAACCAAGCAGGCTTATGGCGGCTAAAAACTACATCAGATCACCCAGGGCAAGACTGTCAAATCAGAGCTATTAAGGCAGCTAAGAAGACAGTAAACAAAGGAGCCACCACCACACTTCACTGGGTACCAGGCCATACCAACATTCCAGGAAACGAAAAAGCAGACAAGCTTGCAAAAGCCGCCACAACAATCCAACCATCCACCCAACTCACAAGTTTTGCTATGCTTGGAGTCAAGATCAGGCAAATCCAAAGCAAAGAATGGCGCCAAAAGCTTGCTACACCCTCCCGTTCTACAGAACCATCAACCAATCAACACTCGTATCGGAGGGAATTCCCATGGAAGATTCTGTCGAAACCTTGCGTCCCTCAAGGAACAAAGAGAGAGATAGCCAGTGCTTTTTACCAGCTTAAGCTAGGCCATGGATATTTCAAATCATACTTACACAAGCTTGGCCATACCAACAACAACCGCTGTAGATGTGGAAGACAAGAGACGCCTACTCACCTACTCCTTAGCTGTCCAGAAACTGGAGACGCGAGGAAAGCACTAAAGCGTAACCTCCTCAAACACCACATTCGAGAGTTTACTATGAAATCCCTCCTTCACACCACCAAAGGAGTCGAGGCCACACTAGACTTTCTTCGCACCACCAAAATCGCCACTAGACTATGGCACACACAACGAGCAGCTGAGGATGAGAACGAGGACGAGGACGAGAATGAACGTGGTATAGGGCGTGAAACGCAGGGGGCGTACTAAAACACACTTTCTTTTTTGTCTTTCTTTTGTCATAACCAGAAGCCTCGCTGCTTCCAACAACCCAATAACTGTATTCACCAAAACTCCCTTCTCACACATGTATTTAGTACAGTTTCAGTTATCTGCTGGAGGGAAACCCCCAGCCGTGCTACTATAGTCTCAGACTCACACAGCACGTTAAAAGGAATAATAATAATAATAATAATAATAAGGTCGTTATGAATGGGGGAGTGTGGGAGAACTATTTTGTATTTTCATTACCTCGTAAGCCATTAGAATGCATGCTCGTTCCATTCAGAATACCGTAACTCCCTCCATCCATCTATCGTAAACGTTGCAGGATCTCCTCTTCTCATCTCTCTTCTTCCATTACCTATCCTCACCAATAGCATCATCCCCCATGCCCATCAATCCCTTCCATCAGCCAGAAATTCAGATATCCAAGTATCTACAACCTCCACCGTCTCGCAATCTCAATCCCCTCGGCCAACGTACCAATCCTGGCATCAATTGCAAACCCCTCTTTCTCCAACCTCGCACACTCGACCCAAAGATCCCTCAAAGGCACCGTGAAAACCTCAATGAACTCATTTTCCTCCAGTTCCGGCTTGGGATTCTGGTTCGCCTCGAGGGACATATCGATAGTGACATGTACCATCTTTAGGTTTGTATTGCAGAATCCTGGATCTATCCCTTATACATTAGCAAACCTCCCTCTGCTTCCCTTAAATCTTTCAGACCAAAACAAAAAGAGGAAAATACCATTAAACATAACCCCACTCCCCCCCTCCTCCACCTTTCCCACATACCCCGTCTCCTCCCTCAACTCCCTAACCGCCGCCTCCTCCGCACTCTCCCCCTCATCCACGAGGCCAGCCGGGACTTCAATAACCACCTTATCAATCGGGGGTCTGTATTGTTTCTGCAGGATAATCTCAGGACCGGAGGGTTTCTCGAGGATCGCCACGATGCCGACGCCGTCGATTAAGGAGTCTGCGGGACGGGTGCGTCGCTCGGCGTGTTCCCATGTTCGTTCCGTGCCGAGGGGGTCGAGGTAGGTTGTTCTGAGGGGATGAGGTTAGTGGTGGGTGAGAAAGGGGAATGGGGAGAGTGGAGGGG